CTTGGATGACTGCCGTCATTTCTTCAGGACGCGTATGCGAGGAAACCCACATTCTAGTTTACGCCTGCTTTTAAGAGGCGCAGAATTTTCACAGCATAATGGATTCTGTACATTATTAAGCGCACTTACACATCCCCTCCCACTCTGTGAATGCAACGCTGCGCCTTGTTTGTACATACCTTATGATATTAGCCAGTCCTTCATCTTCTATACCGTTTATCCTTAAAGCGAGTTAGATATCACTGCTAATTATTCTCAATATGTGTAGATGCATTTGCACTTATGATTGTACAGTATGTCATCCCGGTTGCCAATGAGCGAGAGACGGGCGACATCTTGGACTGGTCACTTGTTAATCGCAGGAGCCGAAACAGAGACAAACAATCATTCCTCCCAGTCACACAGCTGCAGGCATTTTAGTGTCACCAATAAACCTAAACCCCAAAGCATGTGTTTGAAGCCAAAGTTCCTGGAGACAACCCACACAGACATGGATAGAACATGCAGTCATCAAAGCAAATAAAGGTCAAATAATTTACTGGAAGCTATGCTGTGTTTTTCATGGTTTCCAATCATTAACCTTCTTCCCGCCACACTTTGTTATCTGTATTCACCTTTAACTAACTTCATCATTTAACTGTTATATTATCATATTCTGAATCTAAACTAGGAAATACAAGTACATACTTCTTCTATCTCGATATATATTTCCTAACTTTATGAAATATATTCATTAAAGATGGTGAGAGAGCACCAGCGCTACTCTGTTCTTCATCCTCCTCAAGCTCACATCCATTCTAGTAAGTTGTTTCTTTTTATTTTGTTTGAATGGGGAAGGTCTCTGGATGAGCCTCACTGACTTCCTTTCGCTTGCATACTGAAATCTCTGAACTTCATAGTTTATTTCCACAATCATTGGATACAAAGAAAACGGTATCATGTATCATTTTAAATATGTTTTGCATCTTGGCGAACACATGCAGAGAAATATGAAACCTAAGACTGACAAGCATTTAAAAGTTCTGTTGGATTCAGCCATTTAGCTCTTAGTTTGCCGTGTGTGTGTGTGTGAGTGTGTGTGTGTGGCGTTTATGCTTGCATGCATGTGTAAATTGTCAAAGTGCAAAGTAAATTGTCAAGCAAAATAAGTTGACTAATACATTCTGAACAGATACGACCCACCACCCAAGCTCAGATCATCACCATTCTTAAGAGAACCACATCATATACCTCCAAGCATTGCTCCCAGTTCATTTATGACAGAATATTATTCAAGGCAGGCTTTGACTAATCGGGACCCTGCTAACATAAGACCACATAGATGGTTGTGGTCTTCTCTGCGTTACCAGAGGCCCGAATGTCCCCAATGTGGACTAAGAGCTAAAGGGCTTTTTGCACAACAAGCATCCACACTCTGGCACTATTTACCTGCTGTAAAAAAGGTGTGCTACATACAGCATGTCCCACATTTGAAATCTCTTCTCAAAATTGCAATAAATCAATAAATCTTTCTTGCTTTGAATGACCTTGTAACTAAGATAGTCATATACAAATACGTTTAACTTTATAATCTTTATGGCAGCAAGTCAAGAAGCAGTTTGCTCTTTTTCATCTGAAGAAACAGTAACATTCCCAGCAGGCTCACGTCAACATAGATTATGGCTCTGCCACTATCTCATGAAATTTAATCAGTGTGTTCACAAAGGCTTGTAAACTCGCAAAACGGCAATAAAACATTGTGCTATTTCCTTGTAGGTGTCTCGTATCCTTGATTTAGAAAGTGATCCTAGATTTAGAAAGTGATAAAAGGTAATAATAATCCACTGTAGACTTACAGGAACACTCATTTTCCAGATGTGGACACGGCCCCTTGTGGAGTATCTCTTGATGATAAAAAAGATTATGGCCTATGACCTTCATTCAAGGCCTCGGTATTACTATTACAAAGTAGTTGTAGACATCATTCAAAAGGGAACGAATAAAGCAGACTTCAAGGACTGTCTTTTTTCATCTACGTAATATATCAACGTAGAATTTCTTGTCTCAATGTAATGCAGACAAATGAGTTCACACATTTGTTACATCTAATCTAGATTACTGCCATTCTTCATCATCAGACTGCTTTTATAAGTCTCTAACTCTGTTTGATATCGCTTATAGTTAGGGCTGGCTCAGGTTATCCTGGACCAGCCCTTAGTTAAGCTGCTATAGGCCCAGACTGCCGGGGGACTTCTTAGGACACACCGAGCTCCTCTTTACCTCTTTGTCTCTCCCTCATTCTCTGTCTCTTTTCTCTCTCTCCTTCAAATAATTCACATCTCATTAATGCACATCACTAATTCAGCTTCTTCCCCGGAGTAGATCGTAGTTCCATCTGGACCCTGGTCCGGACTCCTGCCTGGCCTCGCTGACACCTACCGCTTGTAACACCATTGATATTCACATTTCTATTGCTGTAAACATGTCATGGATTGAGGGGAGGTAGGACTCAGACGCAGAGTTCAAAACAAAAGGGACTTTAATTGTCAAAAAGGTTAAAGCCAAAGGCTAAGGGGCAAAAACTCACAGGAACCAGGGGAAAAACGGGAGACAGAAACTACGAACGTCCGCGACAAAAGACAAGGACATGCGTGGCAAAAGACAATGACGCGACCAGTGACAACAGACACACATGGCTTAAATACACTAGGGAGGTGCAGGTGATTGGACACAGGTGGAAACTATTAGACGATCACAGGGGATGACATGACAAGGCAGGAAGTGAAGTTACCCGGGGACACGAGTGGCAGAAAACTACAAAATATAACATGAAGTGAACCACACCGTGACAAAACATTACTGCGCATCACTTGACTTTCAAAACATACATTGTCAGTTAATACATTTTTTGTCGGTTAAATTCTTAAGGTAATTTAATCATCCCTAGTTTATGTTTTGATCAGAGTGATTAAAGGTTTGGGTGGGCCGCAAAAGATTTTCAGATTTCAGTGGGCCGAGGCATTCTTGAGTTTGGGAACCGGGGCCATAGACCATTGTATCCTGTTGCAGAGACTAGAACATTTGATTGGTATCAAAGGAACTGCACTCAGCTTGTTTAAATCCAACTTATCGGATTGATCCCAGTTTGTGCTTGTAAACGGTGAATCCTCAAAGACCACCAATGTTGGTCACGGAGTCCCACAAGGTTCTGTACTTGGACCGATTTTATTTACCCTCTATATGCTTCATTTGGGCGATCTTATCAGGAAACACCGCATAAACCTCCATTGTTATGCAGACGATACTCAACTGTATCTGTCGATCAAGCCAGAAGAGACGGACCAGCTAGTTAGACTTCAAGAATGTCTTGGAGACATCAAAACTTGGATGACCGGCAACTTTCTGATGCTAAACTCAGAAAAAACAGAGGTTATCTTGATAGACCCAGAGCGCCTTCTAAGACAGCTGTCACGTGATACGGTTTTTATGGATGGAATTGCTCTGGTACCCAGCAGCACCGTCAGGAATTTGGGAGTTCTCTTCGATCAGGATATGACCTTCAACTCGCATAGAAAGAATACTTCAAGGACCGCCTTTTTTCATCTGCCTTTTGTAAATCTCTTAAGCCTCTCCAGTTGATTCAGTTTGCTGCGGCACATGTATTAACAAGAACTAAGAAAAGGGATCATATTACTCCTGTATTAACTTCTCTGCACTGGCTCCCTGTTAAATCAAGATCCCTGTAGATCGTAGTTCCTTCTGGACCCTGGTCCTGACACCTGCCGTGGCCCTGCTGACACCTGCTGCTGCCATCATCATTATTATTTTAGATATTATTTATATTACTGTACTCTTAAACCAACATTACCCTCTCCTAAAGGTTTTGTGCTCTCCCTCCCCACAGGCTTCTGTGGATGGTGGTTCTATCTGATGGTGGTTGCCCCTGCAGTCGTCCTGGCTTACTATCCACAATTACTTGAATCATTTCTGTCATAGGAATTGCATTTATTAGACATTGTTCATTCTATACACATGGCATCCATTGTAATCTGTCCATCCTGGGAGTGGGATCCGTCCTCTGACGTTGTCCCTAAGGTTTCTTCCCTTTTTTCCCTCTTGGAAGGGTTTTTTAATTTTTTGGGGAGTATTTCCTGTGCCGATGGTGGCTTTCGGGACAGAGGATGTCGTATGTGTTCAGACTGTAAAGCCCTCTGAGGCCAATTTGTAATTTGCGATTTTGCGCTATACAAAATAAAATGAATTGAATTGACTGTAAAACCCTCTGAGGCAAATATGTCATTTGCAATTTTAGGCTATGCCAAATAAAATTAATTGAATATAATTGAGTTGGTGCTGGGGCTCAACAGAAAATAGTCGAAGAGTGTCTGCAGCTGTAACATTGACAGTTATAAGTGACAAGTAGAATTCACACCTGTTCTTAAGAAAATATGGCTACTTCCACTAAAAATAGCGTTCATACACTGGTTCCATACTATCTACATCTGTAGTGATCACCTATAAGGGAAAAAACTAACTGCTAACTAAAAAAGGCCCAGAATAAGTTAAACTGGACCAACACCTGAGCACACAGTCAGCTGTTGGTTAAATGTATGTTGATTTTATTTACCTGTAAACGTCTGAAGCTTACATTATAGCTTGCTTAGCTCCGCTCTAACACGACCGTAGCTGCAAGAAAACAGCCACATGGAACCATTAATTAGCCACTTATGTGTTGACTGTAACCGTCCGTGACCGCTTTGACAGTTTACTTCAGAGAGGAATAAGAAAAGGTCTACCAGCAGGAAGACGAGCAGGACCAAGCTGTCTCCTTTAAAATACAAATACAGAACTAATATCCAGTTCAGCTGGAAGCCTTGACCTGATCAGAAATCCCAACAATAAACCAGCTATCAGGAAAAAAGAATCAGAGTTCAAGTTCATATCTTTATGAGCCATCACCATCTTGCAGGTGGGGCTGTGTAACATCAGACAAACAGCGTCACCCAGTGTGTATATAAAGAGCAGGGATACCTCCTCATCATCACTGCAGCACTTAGCTGACACCTGAATCATTCCACCTCACATCTACCCGACAGGTAAGACTGCTGCGTGTCTCTTCATCCATTGGAGCCCAATACTTACTGCTTTCCTCTCAGCATTTATCAGTGTCTTTTTTTCTCCACACAGAAAGTTCAATCGCTTATCACCATGAAGACTCTCCTGGTCCTCTCCTGTCTCCTCTGTGCTTCATTTGCAGGTGATATTCACACACAGTTTAGACAGAACATATGCTCAGGTAGTAGTGAACATTTGGGGGATCAGGGGTAACGAGGTCACCGACACTGTTGTCTTTGTGTGTGCAGCTCCAGCTGAAGACAAAGGGAAGTCCCCAGGTCAGTATTAACGGCTTTAATACTCAGCAGACAGTCAGCGTGGTTACATGGATTCGAATAAATGGCTTAGTCGGACTGAAATCGAATTATCCGTTTCATGTAAACACCTTTGTTCGACTATGTGCAGTCCGACTACAATCCGACTAACACCCCTGGATAACTTGATCCGATCCAGTTGATAGTGCGACTATTGCGGCATGTAACGGTGAATCGGATAAGGAACTGGACTTTGCGTCTTTGCGCATCCTTGAGATCCCAACGTCGTCTTCTCTACGTTATCAAATCAGGCAATAGCGCCATTCGCATTCGCTGTACTCCTATTAACATCATGCAAAATAGTAGAGGGATGTAGCTTCACCTTGCTCTCCGTTCGCCATCTTCGCGTAATCGTATCGGATATGACATGCTTTCGGCCAATGATTCGATTTATTCACTGCCATGTATATTGGGATAATAGCACTTGCCCCGAAAGATAGCATAGTCCGACTAAGCAAAGATTCAAATTATACCATCATGTAAACACACTGAGTAAGACCTTTAACCATCTAACACCACTGCTGATGTAATTCATCCACAGATGGAACAGTGCAACAGAAAATGGCCATACCTGGTTAGTGTCCTCTTTAAAATGTTTTATGACAGCTACCCTACCAAGCATGTGTGAACATAAGCTTAACAAATAAGCTAAATGAACTAATATCCAGAGACAGGACATCCAAGTTCCACTGTTACGCTCAGATAGGTCACTGAAAAGAAAAAGTAACCATCACAGTTAGAAATGTTAGCATTTGTACGTGGCTATGATAGTGGTTCGTAGAGCTTCATGTCTCCTATTTGTTGTTCCTATCTATCAAACACTCAGATCATTATACAAGTGCAAAACAGGTGATCGGGATCATTGTCCCCAATCTGTCAAATCAGCAGACCTTTTCATGGATGTCAACCAGGGGTAGTTCTGTCTGTCCGCTTTACTTTGTCAGTTATTTTTGGTCTATTTTTAGTTGTCCTTTGGTTTGAAGAACAAACCATAGCAGAATGTTTAGTGTGGGAAGCACTTTGCGTGCATATCATGCATATCATATTCAAGTGCTGTACTAATAAATCTTTACTTCTACATGTAAACAAGTAGATCATCAGTCAGTAATACTGACAACTAAAGGATCTCTGATGAAGCTGGTGATGTTTCAGAGATGGGGGAGAAGATGGTGAAAGATGGGGAAGTATCTGTGCCAGAAGATTCGGTCCCTGTTCCAAGAGATGGTAACGAAAAAGGACACATATTGAAACATTTCAAAACACAAATACGTTATACATTTAATTGATTTTAATTAATTTATAAACAATACTCATTGTGTTGACTGTTCTGTGTTGGTGCAGCACCTGTGTCCGAGGAGGAAGCAGCACCTGAATGTACGTGCACATCACTGTTCGAATCCCTATTTTCTGTTCCTTCCTGAGTGATAATGTGATGGCAACAACCATGAGAGAGAAAATTGAATAAAAGCCACACTCCTCTCTCCAAATATCACAAACAACATGCGGAAAGAATAAGCACGATGCGCTTGGATGACTGTAGCAGTATTTTGTGGGTTAACTATAACTAATGTACTATGCGCCAAAATATATCAGACGCATGTAGACAGATGTCGGTTTCATTAGACAGTTGTTGTGAGTGTGTTTAAGTATTGAAGGCAACCTCTAATGTGTCCACAGTTCGTTTCGACTCCTGTCCCGCAGGCTGGTTCAGCCACGGCTCTCGCTGCTTCACCCACGTCAGAAGCTCCATGAGCTGGTACGACGCTGAGGTACTGCTACCGCTCCTCTTTGTGTCGTTATTGTGAGCAGCTCAGTACGTGATACGATCGACCTTGTCGTTAACAACTTGTTTGACTGGATGTTGAGCAGTCCGTCGCCATCAGGCCATGAAAGAGTTTACTCAACTGTCTGCGGCTTCCTCTGTCTAACAGGAGCACTGCAACAGCATGGGTGCCCAATTGGCCTCGGCCACCAACCCCAAAGAGTACAGATTCCTCCAGCAGTTGACACAGGCAGCCGGTTACAACACAGCATGGCTGGGAGGTTTCAACCTGCAGGTATGAACATAGTAACATATACCAGTCAGTTCAGGTCAATCCCTGGACCTGGTCCAAAGGAGCTCTACAATCACACAGGAGACTCAGGCGACGCTTCCTTACTCTCCTCTTTGTCTCTCAGGGCCGGTGGATGTGGATCGACCGTGAGGGTTTCTATTACTTAAACTGGTACAATCTGTCACCCCCCAGCAGCCGCGCCTGTGTCAACCTGCACATCTCCGGTAAGTCCACCTGTTCCCTTCACCAGTTGATGTTTTTACTACGTTCACCTGGATTTCTGTTCTGAGAAATGGGAGTATAAGTTATTTTCTTGACATAAGGTTCGTCCTTCTTATGGTCTGACTGCTAATTTAGTAAATGTGTTAATCACAGAGAGTGAAAGATATTACAGAGAACATTGTGTTGTCTCATTTGCATGTAAAAACATGTTACTTATTCTTCTGTTTTATGAATGAAATTTCAGTTGGTTGGAGTAACAACGTGTGTGGCACTAGTTCTTCCTTCATCTGCTCCAAGAATGCTTTTGGCTGCTAAGATACGTTCAAATCATCTGAATCCTCCGAACGGAAGAGCCTCTGCATTCATACTGTCTGAAGACGACTCTTGATTGTGGTTGAGTGTCTTATTGAATTGTTGATTAACACAGCTGGTTCTTTTTCCATAATAAAGACTTGTGAGGAGGAAATAAAGTGTGATCTTCATTTAAGACCTATGTTGAACAATGGCTCCTGAAGGTCAGCAGTAGTCTGATTATCAATGCTCATTCTTCTAAGAGGAACCTGAGTCAGCAGCTCAGGTTCAATGCATTGCAAGTAGTGTTGTGCATTTAATACTTGGATACATGGTTTAGGTGCTTTAAGAGGGATGCTCAAAGAAGATATCAGGAAAGATTTATTGCCATAATATGTCAGACATACAAGGAATTTGACTTGACGGTTGGTGCGTAACAGTAGACAGTACGACAATGGACGACAAGACAACAGTGCAAGGAATAAAATAAATGTAATGCTATGGGTTAGTAATATAAGGCTATGGGTTAGTTTAGAAATAAAGGAATAGAAGTTCAAGTAAAACATTTAAGAAGGAAGGAATCCACAGCGAGTCACCGAGGATGATGGGGTAGGGTGAGACTTTGTTCTTCCTTAAATCCACAACCATCTCCACTGTCTTTGGAGCGTTGAGCTCCAGGTTGTTCTGGCGGCACCACAACACCAGATGGTCAGACTCCCACCTGTAGGCGGACTCGTCCCCACCAGAGATCAGTCCAGTGAGGGTGGTGTCATCCGCAAACTTCAGGAGCTTGACGGACTGGTGGCTGGAGGTGCAGCTGTTGGTGTACAGGGAGAAGAGTAGAGAGGAAGGAATGCAGCCTTGGAGGGAGCCGGTGCTGATGGTCTGGGGGGCTGAGACACGGTTCCCCAGCTTCGCGTCCTGCTCCCTATCGGACAGGAAGTCAGTGAGTCGGGCACGAGCAGCTGGGGTAGTTTGTCCTGCAGCAGAGACGGGATGATGGTGTTGAAAGCAGAGCTAAAGTCCACAAACAGGATCCTGGCGTAGCACTGCTGGCTCTGTAGGCAAACTGCAGAGGGTCCATGAGGGGGTCAGTGAGGGTCATCAAGTGGACCATGTGCAGCACGAGGGACGGCGTGATAAGCCCGGCTTACTGTCGTGTAACATTGATCCAGCGTGTTCTCTCTGGTGGGGCATATAATAATTGGAAGTTCATGGGTGAGATTTCCTTTGTCCCCGAGGAGGACAATAACTAAGGAGTCCTGGTTGGTTCGCTCCACATGCCTTATCTGGTCGGCGAGTGTCCGCTGTGCCTCTTGCACGTTGCCCTGCGGCGGCATGGAAACACCGACCAGGATGAATGAAGCAAACTCTATTGTTGATTTGCTTTAGTTCTTGCCGTTTTACTGCCAGTTCTATCTATTTGAAGTTGTCTTGCTTGCTAGTTTGAACTGCTGCTACTAGCAGTAAGACTGCTAGTAAGACTTGAATCCTTAAACTCTCAGTTTGTCAAAACACCACATGGTGATTGTTCACTGATTGGCGTCAACAATTGGTGTTTTACAATTTGAGGAGTTTCGGTCGAGGCCAATTGACCTTTTGTCTCCTAAACGACGGGGGAGTGGTCAGCGCTGCCGTAGCCAACTACCACTAACGAGGAAGTACTTAACTAGAGGTTGAGTGAAGCGTTAGCATAACCTCGCAGCACGACAAAGACAAAGGAGTCTTTCGTGGAGTCAAGACAAGCAGGACAAAAACAAAGGAGTCTTTCTTGGAGTCAAGACAAGCAGGACAAAGACTAAGGAGTCTTTCGTGGAGTCTTCGGGGCGGCTGAATGCCGCGCCGTCTTCTGCTATTTTTAATAATGTGTTTGACCCCTTTACGTGTTCGAATCTCTTCACGCAGATAGTACAGGCCTCGTGCTAGATCTGCTCTCCACCTTAACCACCGTAACCTTTCCTCTCTCACCGATCCCACCCGCTCCGCACACGTCCAGCACCTCGACACAGGAGGCCTCTGGAACTGCCAGTCAGCTACTCGCAAGGCAGACTTCATCTTCGCTATCCAGCAGTCGCTTGACTTCATCGCTCTCACCGAGACCTGGATCACACCTGAGAACACATCCACCCCAGCATCCAGACAGAACAGTCATCTGACCTTACACCTACTTTCTTCTTTCGCTCTGTCACTCAGTCCCTCTTCTCCTACTCACAAAGCCGGCAATCACCTTGACTACATCTTCACTAGAAACTGCTCTGCCACTAACCTCTCTGTAACTCCACTGCATGTGTCTGACCACTTCTTCATCTCTTACTCTCTACCACTCTCTATAACTAACGACCCTGCTCCATTGACTGACTTTGTACCTGATCGTCACAACATTCGCTCCCTCTCTCCCTCCTCCCTGCCCTCTTCTGTTCTATCAGCTCTCCCGTCCACTGACTCCTTCTCACTGTTGCATCCGAATGCTGCCGCAGAGACTCTCCTCAACTCTTTCCTCCTCTCTAGACTCTTTCTGCCCTCTGACGACACGACGGACTGGCAAATCCCCTCCGGCTCCGTGGCTGTCTCAACCGGTGCCATGAGAGCCACCATGGGAGCATCGGAGAGGAGATGGCGTAAATATAAACGACCAAAGCTCTTTTCGATCTCCGGGATCTATTCGATCTATGTTTCCTGTTACGATTCGCTCCGGGAATCACAACAGCAAACATAATTGATAACAAAAACAACAATAAAAACAACAAAAAACAAAGCGCACCGAAGCACCGTGGCAGCCATCGTTGGCGCCATCTTGGGTCTTCAGGAAATTAAATGAATAACAATGGCAAATGAAAAAGGACAACGGTCAGAAGTGGAGAAAAGAGTTTCCACCCGTTCTTCCCCACTGATGTAGATCCCTCTGTTGGTCGGGTGGTGTCAACCTCCAACAACCGACTCAAATAAATGTGAAATGTAAAGTAAAGTGTTGAGTGTATATGTATACAAAGATGTGGTGCGACCAATTGCCTTCACAAGTTACATAATTAGTAAATGCAATTTAATCTCAGTATAAATACACCTTTTCTTTGAAGGCCTTAGTTTGTTAGAGAGTGTTACTGGACAAAGAGCATCATGGAGACCAAGGAGCTCAAACAGCTCAGTACATAAGTATGTTGTAAATGAGTCACTGTAGCACAGGCGGCACTGTGTGCGGTAGCACCTGTCATCAGTGTGTGAATGATTCGTAATATGTGGTAGAAAAGCATAAACCAGCAATCATCTCTATTACTATACTACTTCTAATAATAATGTTGTGATTTAACCCATGAACTCTATTCAAGACAATATACTTTTGGTTTAAAGAATATATTTAGTTTATTACACCCTTCAGGACCATACAGATAGCAATGCATTCAATTCAAACAGCAATCTGACCCACACATGCATACACACACACACACACACACACATATATATATATATATATATGTATATACTTGAATGTTGCGGAATCATGTGTCATCGGACAAACACATAGAAGCATGAGAGGGACTTGAAGTCGTCTCGTACAGAAGCGGCAGCAGCCTTGTGTCGTGGCGCTGCAGCACTGTGCACTGTGGCGTCTAGCAGGTCGGCTTCACCTGACAGACGAACGGGGAGCGCGTGCTGCAGCCGTGATTGGACCAGCCCGCTGCAAAAACATCAGCATCATCAGCTTTGGCCACAGAATGACATGCATCCCGTGTTGCTGCTGTGGGTTCACTGGTGTCCTATCGTTACCTTGAGAGCTGAGCTTGAGGCACTGGAAACTGTCGGTGAAGCTCTCTATTTCCCAGTTGTGGTAGTTAAACACGGAGCCATCTCCCCACCTCCAGTTGCCCTGGAGGAAATTATCAGTTGGTGTTCAGTGTCTCCACATGTACACGTTTAGTCTAAAGCATGTTTGTGACGGGTTTTGATCGTTTCAGGGCTGAACAAGATCAATTCCAACTTGTCTATTAAATTGTACATAACTAGTAATACTCCAAAAACTTCCTCATAAATGCACCAAAACCTTTGAAGTACTTTTATTTGAATTAGGTTAAACAGCAATAACGCTTTAAATGCATTGTAGTGTGGAAAGCACACAGACAACTAACAATGTTCTTAAATCAAAGTTTTTTTTATGTGTGAACAAACCTCAAAGAAGTATCCTCCAAGCCAGGCAAAGGTGTGTCCTCCAGTCCTGACCACTCGCTGGAGGAACTGATACTCCCAGATGTTTTGGGCTGAGGCCAGGCTGCCATCGAAGCTCGCACAGAAGCTCTGCAGGACGACACAACATCTGTTAAACCTATCCTAAGAAAAAGATCCAAACTTCGTCTTTAACTTTGTCCCCACCTCTGCGCCGCTCCAGGTGTCGACGTGGTTGGCTAAGTAGTAGCAGTTACCACGGAAACCAAGCCAACCATCAAGGCAGAAATGGAAACGAGCTGAAACCAAAAAAAGGACAAAAAATGACCATCTTCACTCATACTGTGAGTTTTGGGGGGAATTTACTAAGTATCTCAGAAATATTTTTTCCCCATCTCTCTCCAGCAGCATCAGCCCCATGTGTTACTGTGACCTTCTTACCTTCAGGTCCACTCGCTACAGCTGCATCCGGCCCTGTAGAACCCAATGACAAGGTCTGAAAGGTTAACTCAGCCATGGGTTCTTTGTGTTCACATCCATTATTTCCTCTCAAGGCAAAGCTGGATTGAATGTATCCTATTGTATCATTTCCATATCAGTTAAGAAATACGGCAACGTAGGTTTTTCCACAATAAATACCAGTTGTTTTATTGCTACATATTTGCTCTTTAGAGGAACCAATTCCTTATGTAAGAATGTAGATTGGAACGGTTCCCTTTACTGTTTTGCCAAGTTTCTCGTTTCAATGAGATAAACCCTGACGAAGCAAGATGCTTCACACGGCAACAATACACACAACAGCGCGTGGTGCTGTGTGGTTTGGTGGATGTTAAAGTAATCACCTGCTTTTGGTGGAGGACTGTTGTTCTGTTGAACTGCAGCAGCCTCGACTGGAACAACTGAGGGAGAACAACAGAAGAGCATTAATGTGCATCCGTTTCCTCTGTTGAGTTGCAGAACAATAGACATTAGACAATAACAATAGATATGAATGAACACTAATTCTACATTTAGTGTCTTGGCTAAATTAAGGCTTGAACACCTTAACCCCCATGTTCAATGCATCATCTACATCCCACGCGGTGTAGTTGAAATGGAAAGTATTGGATGAGTGCTGCGTCTCACTTGTGGCGGCCCTGATGGACACAGCGACGCAGCCGATGACGGCGAGGATCAGCGCAGTCTTCATGACAGGAGCTACTGAGGTCTGCAAGGCAGGTGGGAGGTCTTCAGGTGGGAGACAGGTGAGTGATGGCAGGAGGCTCAGGGATCATCTTTATATGCACACTGTCGTTTCCTTCTCGTCACAGGTATTGAACATTTGGACTTTGCCCTCTGCGTCAGTATCGCGTTGCAGGAAGACGGAACCGTTTTCCCATCAGCGCCCAAAAAGATGATTAAACAATGATATGAGTCCAACAAAGTGGAGACATTTCCCAGAGGACACGCCCCAGTTGTGCCCAGCTGCCTTTGATTAAACAAGTCTCCAGTCTTCTGGAATTGCAACGAATGTGCAACAATGATTGACTGTAACAAGAAAAGGAGACACACCTTCATCTCTGGGAGGTTTTATTATATATTGTTACTCATAAACATCAAGGCAAGGCAAGGCAATTTTATTTTTATAGCGCTTTTCATACACAAGGCAGACTCAAAGTGCTTCACATCATCATCATCAACATTTCATAGAATAAAGTGAAATAAAATGCAGGAAGTAAAAGACAATTAAAAACAGAAAATAAAATTATAAATTAAAATCTTATTTAAATTGTTTAATTAAAGGCAGAGGTAACATAAAACATAAACATAAAAGTTTTCAGTCTTGTTTTAAACGTGGTCAGAGTTGGGGCAAGTCTTAAATCTTCAGGAAGTTTTTTCCAGCTGTTTGTTGCGTGACAACTAAATGATGCTTTCCCGTGATTTGTATTTACTCCGGGAATCACTAACAGATTAATCAAGAATCGGATTTCATCAGCCGTTAGCTTCGACAAAGTTCTGCCAGTGACTGAACTTTATATACTTATTTTTCTTACCAAAGAAAATTCTTATAACTAAATCACAGATGATTTTTTCCCATGTTAATTGTTGTTGTTGGTCACAGTTACAGTTAGTGAACTCTAGTCATCGAGAATGATTCGGACGAGTTGTTCAGTATTAAAGTATATGGTGCTCTTCAAGCTATAACACCCCTCTGACAGGGTGTTAAAACATGGCTGGCAGATCGCAAAGATGAGGTCATTCTCATAACTGAGACTTCCTTCTGGAAAATAAGATACAATTCCCAGCGGAGTAATTATAGATCCTGCAGGAAGTGCAGATAGGTAAAGGTTTATGGAGGGGGAAGACCAAGAAAGTTAATGTTGTTAAGTGGTGCTGGTGGTTGACCTCGGATGTAAACTATTATCTTATGAACATCGAAGCACAAACATCTTGATTATTAGATGATGAGAACATAATGTGCCTTTGTGTGAAGAGCAAAGCCTTCCTGTTGTCTAAGTAGTACTGACTAATGTCAAACATTATTGCAGCTACGAGGTGGACAATGTGGTATAGATGACAGACCCATTACAGATGTAATCTTTGTGGATTGTAAGTGTTAGTCTAAAAATTGTGATTGTGGAATTCTTGCTTTGGATTTCCATATTGCATGAATTAAATGTTTGCCTTTATGAGTATTTACATGCATGTGTATTGCAAAACGGGCAACATTTTCTGATACCCAAGAACTACATCTTAACTTATTTATTGTGTTCTTTGCTTAGATGTTGTGGGAACGAAATAATCTACCATTACAGAAGGGAGAACTGGACAAAAACCCAATTAAATCTAATAAATAACAACGATGTTATGATTTCCAACAAACATGGCTTGAGAACAGACGCTATTCTCTCTCTCTCTCTATATATATATATATATATATATATATATATATATATATTCTCTTTTGGTCAGAGTGTTGGATGGACGTGTTCTTCAGCAGAACCGATAAGAGCACTCGACTTGTATGAAATGGCAAAGGAGACACTAAACCTGACCTAAATTATTGACAGAATCACATTAACACATCTCAGACCTAATCGGCTCAACTTAACCGAATATGGTACGCTCTGTGAGCATTTTTCTTCTGTTAGCTACAGGACTACATATTTTTACTGACTCCAAAGAGCAGTTCTGCACTGAACCTGCAACCATTTCAACGCCCTGAAGGAACAACCAGTTTGCCTGGGAGATTGTGTGGTTCCGTCTTTAAAGTTAATATAATTAATAACAAGTGGTTGCATTTTTTTCACACGTTTATATTGTTAGATACAGTATATTGGATTGAGTGACTAGTCCGTTATTTACTGGATTTGAAACCACTCAGTGGCCTTTGGGTGTGGAGTCTGCATGTTCTCCCACATTATACATAAGTCATTTTTAAGGGATTATTGTCAAAAAAAGAAACATTTTAGTGTAGTTTGTAAGATATTTCCTCTGTAGTTGCGCAGGCAGAAATCGTAGTAAAACTGCCTTTTTATGAGGAGCAGTTATTTATAACTACTAATCAATATAGAGATACGCTGCAGATCACATTGAAGAAAAATATTCTCCTTCGAGCCGGATTTGAACCAGCGACCTAAGGATCTCTGCTCAACCACTACAGTCCTCCGCTCTACCAACTGAGCTATCGAAGGCCACGTGGAAACGGCAGTGGGCTGCTGTGAACAAAGATGAAAATGTTGCACGAAGAATAGTGGTTAACGGTTGGAGATGTGTAGAAGTCTGTAAAACGTATGTAATTAGTGAAAAAAACACGAAAATATTGCCATATGGCAAAGAAAGAAAACATCCTTCGAGCCGGATTTGAACCAGCGACCTAAGGATCTCTGAACAACCACTACAGTCCTCCGCTCTACCAACTGAGCTATCGAAGGGTACATTTCTTTAGTTATTAGTGAGACATTTTCAAGGGCCTTGAATCAAAACATTGTTGTAATACACGTCGACACGCCATTACACTGTTGATATGCACAAGCACGTATTTCGGTCAATAATAAAATTACGTTAAAGCTGAATTAAAACAGTAGTTATGAGTTATGAACGTTACGTGACGTTACCGGTGATCAGTCGGTATCTGGAGGACTAAATGTCTTTAATACTTCAACCTATAGTTATATCTCATGTATAACTGTTACGGAGACTCAATACACGCGGGTAATTTCCCAGAAGCCTCCCGGGGATCAGGCTGCTCTCCGCGGGGTGAGATGAGGCTGACGGTCCCGTTAACTACACCTCACGTCTCCCACATCCTCGAGGTAATTATTAAGAAGGCTCAACGTGGACACACTCGCTACAGAATCGTTCCTTAAACAAATGCAGACTTTTGAATTTAAACCGAGCTTAAGCTGTCCACGCGAGTCCACAATTCCAGACCAGAGCGCATATTGAGAAACCGCCCCCCCAGTGGGAGGAGCCGACGGGACGGCGGCGTCGCAGGCGAAGTGACGCATGCGGCCGACCAGCGAGGACGCAGCCGACCAAATGAGACGCAGCCCCAGTCATAGAGCTGGTGATGGAAAACTGTTCAGACATTTAAATAGATCAGTCTGCTCAAGTTAATAATGTGTCACTTTTAACCCGCAACTTTATAATCACTCAATTGTAGTGAAATAGAAATGTTCGTATGTAACAAAGTGAATTACAGATCGTACGACATCGGTCTTTGTGAAATGTTTTCACCAACAAAGCAAACTATAAGAACGAAAGAAAGAAAGAAAACTACAACAATTTGGGATTTTATTACTTTATAAGGTTTAAAATAATCATTTTGACCCTGCCACCATTCTGCTGCAATAAGAGGAATAGACACAGAGGAAGACGGAGAGCCACACGTCCATCAACACGTCTGCTACGAAACCTTTCAGTGAGCGCAGTACAGCAGCTGGACAATTGATATGTAGAAAATAAAAGTAGGCAAATGTATATTCATTACATTTCATTTACATTGTCAAACTAATTTTCAAAGAAAAGAGGACTTAACTTCCGGCACACAAAGAAAAAATGGCAGTGTTGAAAAATTCTGTCTTTGTAAACCAATTTGAACAAATGAAAAGTTAATACAACAAATGTAATACAACATCAACAGACAAAGGGCATTTTACTCTATGATAGTGTCATTGAAAACAAAGATGTAACTACATTTCATACATAAAGCATAATAATAAAGGGGGAGTACCATCATCAATCATCATCAGAACTAAAGATGATGTGATTCAACATGAAGTACCGAAATATTACCCTCAACTTGGAGCATGTTGGTAGTATACACAGTACACAGATTCTATTGTCTCTCTCACACACAGACACACACACACACAGGCGGTAAGGGGTCCTTAATAGTCTGGGCAGTGTGTTATCAGGGGGGGTGGAGGTGAGGACAGGTGAGTTCTTCTCCCGATGCTGCTACTCTATCTGAGGTCCACATGGCACAGATTAAAGATCTCAGGTTGTGGATCTTCTACACGGATTTTCCCCAAACACCTCTGGGGCGGCTGCAGAATAACGTGACTTCAAAAAGCTCACTATCGTTTTCAGTACTCTGTAGCGTTGATCGCATTACCTCTTACCCTGAAAGTAGCTTAGCCCTTTCAGTTGGAGAGCTTTCTGTCTTGGGGAGCTTTGACAGAAAGAAGCACGGTAGAATAACTTCAAACGAAGTCTCAAGACTCAAGAGGGAATTTTATTTTCCCTCCCATTTTCCATGTTGAGTGAGAATCTACAATCACAGCCTCCTGCTTCACATGCTATTATTATTGGATGGATTTCAGCTACTGTAGTGATGCCAGCCAACCAGGAGTCCAGTTGTTATGATGTGTTCTGATCTAAACAGTCTAAATGACCAGGACCTAAATATGTGGCCTATATAATAGGAGGTCTGTTCTATTGGTTTGCTTTTCATTGTAGCAACATACAACATTCAACAGAATTGTGTCTGCCTTCGTACCAACTCCCGTCCCCTCCGACCCTCTGTCCCCTCAGAGGGACGTTCATGCTCTGACACCAGCACTGGGTCGTCCCACTACTCTCGGGCCTGTAAGCACTTTAAGGCAACCAGCAAAATGCTCGTCGTCTCTTTTTCTCATTGCCGACAGGATGTCTGAACATTTACATCCACTGGATCATGTGACCCGTCAAAGGGACACAAGCAGATGTATGAGTAAATGGTGGTAACTGTGTATCCACACTTGTACCACAGCGGCTCAATAGTAAGACTCCATTTAGGCCCAAATGACCAGGCCTCACTTTGGTCTCTTGTCATTTCACGCAGTCATAAAAACATACACACACTCGGCCATGTAAAAACACATAAAATCAACAGCTAAAGTACGGAACGACGTTAAATGAAGACTATAGTAAAAGTAACTGGGTAACAGGCCGATGTGTAGTTCATCAGTACCACCACAGGGGGGAGCAACAGCCCCAAACACCCCACCCCCCAGAAACAGTTGGAACAAAGCAAGCACACAGACTTTCCCTCCATCCTTCATGGTTCCATCGTGTCTGTACTACGCACCTGTTAGTGAGTACCATACGCGTTAGTGGAACTCCGCTTCTCTCCTGCGCTACATACGCCACCTTTATCTCTTCCTGCTACGGTGGTCCTGCGTTCCCTCCCCCTCGTCCCTCCCCCACCGCCCCAGCTTCTGTCTCTCTTTGTCCGTTCTCTACCCGTGTTCATTGAAGTGCTCCAACTTCTCCTGTTTCCTCCCTCCCTCCCACAGCAAAGTGAACTGGTTTCTGTTCTGCATTTTAGTACCAACCCATACATACATATATGCACATGTACACACACACACATGTATGTATGTGTATATAAAAACGCGTCTTTGTGTGCTGCTCGTTCCTCAATCTGCTGATGTGCTTGCTTTGAAGAGGTTCTCACAGACTGGCCTTGGTAGCTGAGACAGCAGTCATTCAGTCCACATCCTGAAGACTAGATCTGTGTCTTCTGTGTCCAAATGTCCCCCTGCGTGCTGGCAGAGTGTGTTCTGTCCCCAACCTCCTCTTCTCCTCCTCCTGTTTATGTCCTTTCGTGGTCTCTTCTACTCCTTCTCCCTTGGGCTCGTCCTGCCCCTCCTCCTCCTCCGCCCTGGTTACCCGTCATTTCACTTCTCCATCAACCTCCTCTGTGATGCCCTGAGCACGGAGCTCTTCCAGGACGTTGTCCAGGTGTCCGGGGTCTGGGAAGCCGTGGCCCGTCAGGTTGGAGCCAAACTCTGTCTTATGGTGGACCTTAAAGAGAGGGGGACAGTTTTAAATACGTGCATTGATCCCAAACTCTGGACACCCATGTTGTGTTGTTGTGTCCGTACCTCGTTCCAGATGACGGTGTCAGACTCTCCAGTGGTGCTCGAAGTCCCCACCGAGAAGATCAACCTACGGTCCCACGCTACCAGGAGCAGTCTCAGTACCTGACGACAGGTAGGGTACGGTGGTGCCGTTAAAAGGGATCAGAACAAAGGAGATATCTACTGGGGGGAAGTGTGTGTGTGTGTGGGGGGGGGGGGGGGGGTTACCTTGCGCCCCCTCTCGCTGTCTGGGAGGTAGCAGTGTCGAGGGAAGCCTCTGGCAGTGAAGGGCTTCCCTGGGCTTGGGTGCTCCGGTCCCTGCAAGGAGAGGGTTGGCATTAGCACATTAGCAGGAACACGTTGTAGCTACGTGGGGGTGAGCGGTTGTGTGTCCGGCCCTGATAGAGACCCACACTCACAATGTGCTGCATACAAAAGCTGATCATATCTCAGTGTCTGTCATGTCACTGTGAGGATCCACACGGGGGGGAAACTGTTTCCATGACTCATACAGACGCTGTGCGTACCTGAAGGCCTGGCGGTATGTTGTAGATGACGCGGATGCTTTTGCAGTCAGGGTGCCCCGGCAGAGAGTGAGGGATGACGTGGTACTCCATCTTCCCCGCCGGTTGGTTGCCCGTCTTCACGCCGTAGATGGTTTTGCAGGTGGGACACTGAAGGCTGTGAAGAGGGGACACAACTCGTGAGCTGGTTCTCAAAAGCGCCGTGAGGAGTAGCGGCCTCCGTCTCGCACCCACCTGCCGTCCTTGTTGCCATTGTTGTACATGGCCACCAGGCACTGGAAATGGTACTGGTGTCCACACTGTGCGAGTTGCCCGACCGACTCTGCCCGAGACACAGGCCCCACGCCTGGACCCTTGTACCCAGACGGACCCCCCAGTGGCTCCATGCAGATGGTACAGTCCTGGGAGAGAAGAGGAGGGACCGTTGTCGTGGAGGGTTTCATGTGATGCGTCATTTGATTTATATGAGCCTGATGATGATGAGAACAACACACATGAATACTGGTAATACCTCCTCGGGGGGACTTTTTACTTTCTGCAGGTACTTCTTCACCACCTCCTCTGGAGTTTTACCTGCCGACAGCAAGCAGAGGCAAAGTCCAGGTCGTTAACACCACAGACTCACGCTGAAGTACAGGATTATTTCAAAGGCAGGAACAACCAAACTAAATAATAGGTTTTTGTGGCGCGCTGACCCTTGCGAGCCTGTTTCTTGGTAGTCTTCCTGCAGCAGTGGCCAAAGCCTGCCACGGGCTTGACGTCGCTCTTGCTGACAGGCGGGGGGTGCAGCACGAGTTTCGGAGGTCTAGTCAGACACACGGGCAGAGCGGCAGCACTCATCAGGATGCCCGTGATCCCTGAAAAATGAGTCTGGTTAGAAGAGAAAACAAAGGCGGTGCTCTCGGATGTGCTCTGAAAAGCCCAGCGTTAGAGAGACAGAGAGAGAGAGAGAGAGAGAGAGAGATTTACCGGCCAGTGCAGGGTGAACCGGGCTGGATCCATTCAGGTTCTTCACTGGGACGGTGGGCACGCTGCAACACAAGACACACACTGTTGTGTACAGTGGACTTCCTACAGCAGCGAAGGGATCAGACAGAACAATGTGCACTTACTTGGAAAAGCTGAGGACTGTCATTTCTACACTACGAGCTCTCGGTGAGGAGACGAGAAGCCGCTTGTCGGTGAGTCCTCTCTCTCTCTCTCGACAGTCGCTGCGTGTTTATGAGAGCTAATCCACCAACAGATGGACCTCATGCAGCTGCTAGCTAGGGATTACATGCCTCGTCACCAAGCCCCTCATCCTCATCATCTACAGTACACTTGATGGTTGGGATCCGTTTAACCTGGGGGTCGTGGTCCTACAGGTGTACGTATACACTGGGAGTTTCTCACTGCAAGTTTATGCAGCTTTAATAGACAACGAATGCTTCCCTCACACTTTCCCTCATTATGCTCAATAGGAGAGCTAGTAATGTTAGCAGTTAGCCGCAACAACAAAAATGAAAGAGTAAAAGAACATTTTTCATCTTGAATTCCTTCATTGATGGTTGGTTGATATGCATGTGAAGTTATCAGACATGATTCTGGGGAACATCTGTGCAATTGGAACCTAAACTCCTTCATTCCCGACGTGAACCAGTTCTACCAAGAGGCAACACAGAGGAATGAAGGAGTTTAGGTCATTCAAACAGTGTTAACGCCACCAGCAGCGTGAGCGGAGAGACAGGCAGCGTGCTGATGATCGGCTGTTTAGCTTTAACGGGCCCTCGGCCACTGACTAAGCTGCTTTCACTTAACCCAGTGGTCCCCAACCACCGGGCCATTTGGTACCGGGCCGTAATAGAAACCGTTCAGTGTGTCAGGTGGAACATTTATGACAGTGTTGGTCAGTTTGTCTGCTTCACAATCCCATTTTGCTGAGTGAGATGAATAGACTGAAAACTTTTAGACAAGTTTTCCTTTGGTGACAATTTGCGGTTGAAAAACAGTAAACTGCAATACTCGCATCGTATGATTCCCACCTCCATCCAACATCCAATGACAATGCGTGGCTGAACGCGTCTACCCTCACGTTCTACCTGCATCACATTTCCATACACGTCCATCAGATTAATCAGATTAGCCTCACTCTGAATTAGCTGCTAACGTATGCAGTCAGAGTAGTTTAAGATCCTAAATATGACGTGAAGGTTTATTTATGACTCCTGTTATTAACATTAATATGCTGATGACGGATGGGAAACACCTCTATTAGATCCAGTCAATGAGTGACAGTGATCACACACACACACACAGCGTTTAGCTGACAATGATTTACAATGAGCAGTCTTGTTTAGGGACACTACAGTCTCCTATTAATACTTAATGTGCTGCTGCCTTGGCAAGGAAGGACTTATAACATGAGGTGGTGAAGACGGGAGACGGATCCTGGATGAGCTACATGAGGCTCCTTCACACACTCTCCAGCTGCCCTACGTAGGTCCTGATTACACACTTCTACACACACAGCTCCTATCCGTGGGAGTGACATTGGATTTGTCCAAGAACAATTAATCTGGTTACCTGTTTTCTAACATTGGTGCACAATCAGAAGAAGAATTATGAAGCTAATAGTAGTTTTTAGCTTCCGTAGCTCTTCATATCTGCAGCACTCCCCCCACCACTGGCTGTAGTCACGACCACCGTAGTTGTGCTCACACTTGTCAGTGGCTTTGGATCGACCACAGGATGTGCAGCTGGGTCTCATGTAGCAACACATGAATCAGAAATCAACTACAAACTACTAAAGTACCACAATTTGGTACAAAATTGTCAACGTTTACATTATTTTGAATTTGTTTTTTAGAACCAGAACATTCAGTTGGTTGTAATTTGCAACTTCCCCACTGGATGTCCCACATCTCACGTGTCTCAGTGTCCTTAAAAGCATCCAATCAAATCTTCACAACATTCTGTTGCACAAAGCGCACACAGCAAGTGGAAGTTAAATCAGTTGTAGACAGTTAATCATCCAGATCAGGATTTTCTGATCATTTTAAGTGAATTAGAATGTTTTAAAAAGTAAAAACTATTTAACGTGAATTTACAGTCGACACTTTATAACAAAACCCAAAGATATCAGAGAAGAAGACGTAGAAGAGCATAGAGGCTGGCTCCCCTGCCTGGGGGAGGGGCCTGAATGGCTCTCTTGACCCCCTTCAACCTCAGACCCGCCCCCTCAGCTTCCTCAGCTTTGTCTCCCTCCCTCCCTCCCCTGCTACTCCCATTCTACAGGCCCAGATGGACATCAGCTGGACTGCTTTAGATGCCAGACAATAACACACTCCCACACATTCTCACACATATATCGTCACAAGCATAAAGCCGCCCCCACGGCCTCACACGACCCTGTGGACACGCACACAAACGCACACAGTGGGAAGCTTTGACAACGTGATTAACCATAAGAACCGCCCTGAGCAGATACACTTTAGTAAGATATTGAGGCCTCCATGCAAAGGTTGGTGGTCTTTAGGGGAGTTCTCAACAATATTCAGAGAGTAGAATTGGAATGTGAACACACTCTCTGCTTTAGACCCAGAGCCCCCCCCCCCCCCCTCCTGGCGCGGTTATGATCATACATAATCATATGATTATTGCAACAGGTCAAAGGAAACACCTAAAGTTCACGGATCCAGGAACCAAAGGCTGGAATTCAAAAGCCTGAAATCTGTTGTAATAACTGGTACGATGTTGACAGTTAAACCTGAAGCTGGTCTTCTCCAGTGGGGACCCCTGGAGTCCATGTCCACACTCACACATTAATCGAGTGCTCTCCTTCGGTCTGTTTGGCCTTTCCTCAGGACGTCCACTGTGCTGCCCCCCCTCTAAACACCAGCTTTCCCCGTACTCCTTCACTGCCTTTGTCCCGTGTCTATAACCCCCCCTGGCTAGAAGGTTAGAAGGAGAGAGACATTGTTCACTGGATCTCCCATTAGTCAATATTTACTGTGTGAGAAGGACAACGTGTGTATTTGTTAAATGCCTTGGGAGCATTGTAGTGTGTGTGTGTGTGTGTGTGTGTGTGTGTGTGTGTGTGTGTGTTCTCGCTCTACTGCTGGCCTGCTTTCTTGCACCAATGTGTGATCAATCTTTGACAGTTTGCTGACTTGTTTCTTTGCCCCCCCCCCCCACATTCCCATAGGCCCTGTCTGAGTCTGGGACTGTCTCCACACACACACACACACACACACACACACACACACACACACACACACACACACACACACACACACACAGCTGCATTGTGATTGTCTGGGGATAGAAACAATGCTGACTGGTCTGGTATCATTGTCTAGCCCCCCCCCCATTTGGAATATGCTAGCAGCCTCGGCCAAGTGACCTCCTTTAATGGCGTATCTTCACTCGTCGGGACCATCATGTTTTAAAAAAAAGCGGAAAATAAAAAAGTAGAGAAACAAAAGGTGGTTGAGGCCCAGAAGCCGACGAGAGGAAAGTAAAGAATTGGAGGAGAAGACGGCAGAGCGATCAGAGCGAGGGGGAAGGAGAGCCGAGGATCAGCATTGTGCTGCTAATGCGGGCGGCCCAGGCTCGGCTAATCCAACAAAGGTTACCGTGGAGACCAACAATGAGGCAGTGAGGGGCCCCGGCTGCTGAGACGCAACGGGAGAGGAGGGAGGAGAGGAGCCAGGGAAGGAGAGGAGGGGCAGCTAACTCGGGTGGATCACCAAAATCACTGATATGTAACGTACATACATACTGGAGGCAGGAGCCTGACATAGAAGGAACGGGGGGGGGGGGGATGCTGGTGGGAAATAGTTTGTTGTCTAGACGACGTGTTTTTCTATGAACGCCATCATCCACACGATGTGAGCCGAGTGTGTGTGTGTGTAAATAAGGAAGGGACATAGGAACACGGTATAGACCTGTGCAAAGTGCCCTTATATGACTTTTGATGTGATAGAAAATGAAACCGTCAAGACCTTCTTGGGGGGGCACTTGGTAGAGGGAAACACTGCAGCAGGTCTCCCGTGAGGACAGAGAAGAATGTGGCTCTGTTAGAATGGTCCTTTTTGCTTGGGAAGCTTCCCAACCGAGTGAAATGACCCACGAGTACTTAAGCGGCCGCCATGAAAAGAGCTGTTTGAATTCTCCCAACTAAAGAAAGGAGCTTCAATGCTTCCTTACTTAGCTTCCTCAGAGGAAGGAAAAGTGGTTATGAGTAGACGTTTTTTTTCAAATCCAGCCTGTGTAGTAAATCCTTATCATTACCGTGATCACATGACACCATCCACAGCTGCTGGTGGACCTGTGTGCTGTGGACGGGTTTGACCACAGAGGACTTTAATGAGTATTATAATAATAATATTACCCCTCCCCTTGGGGTTTCCTCCTCATGTGGTACGACAGGGATTTGATAAAAAAGACATTTCCAACAGGAATTAGTTAAAAATGTCACAGCGAGTGAGTCATAGCAACACTAACAAGCACAACACCTTCAGATGGGCGTCACAAGGCGTGTTTGCTTCACAGGTCGCGTGAGGTGAGCCTCTGTTTGTTTGTGTTCCTGTGCTTTGGATCAAACTTGTGTGGCGTCCACAGCCGGACGTCTGCTGCTCATCATAGAGTCCAGGACTCTAAAGCGCACGTGCTTCAGCTACTGGTGTTAGTGTGCGTGTACGTCTGTTCTATCGACTCACCCTGATGCAATGAGCGCTCTGGACTGAGCCATCGCAATCCTCTGTAGCGCTGGTCTGCTCAGCCCAGCTAAGCTGGATCTCTGTGGCAACGGGGCGTGGCACGCGGTTCCCGCGGATGGCACCGAGTGCTGCGGCTTCATCACCATTGGCGACGGAGATGGCACTGGAGAGGGGGGCGTGGTCACGCTGCTGGCCGGCGTAACCAATGTGGCGGTCGGCACCGGTTCGTTGGCCGAGGAGGAGGAGGAGCGCTTGGCGGGAACGGACGGAGGGATCAGGTTGGGTTTGGATGACGGAGGCTGAGGAGGCGGGAGGGACGGAGGAGGCGGCCTATTGGAGGAGATACCCAGAGAGGAGGTGCCCGCGGTGAGGGCGGCTAGCGACTGGGCAAAGAGCTGGGCGTTCCTTCTCGGAGAGGAGATGTTCCTGGAGATGGCGAGGCCGTGCGGCAGCGTCTGAAAGTAGTTGGCGTTGGCGTTTGAGTTCTGCTGCTGCCCTCGACCCAGCGTGGCGGATTTAGACGGACTCAGAGCTTTAGAGGAGTCCGGTGCAAAGTTCTTGGGCCGCTGCATGGTTAGCGAGCGTCTGCCCATAGTCTGTATCCCTGCTCCTCCTGTGTTGGTCTTCACGCTGAAGACCAGCATGCACTGCGGGCAGGAACACGCCTGGGACAGTCCAGGAGTTTGGACGCCCCCGTTGGGGGGGGCGGAGCTTCCAATCCCCATGCTTACCCCAGAAACCCCGACGCCGAGCAGGGCTCCTGTTAAGCCTCCACCGACAGCGCCCCCTTTGGGTATTGGGAGGGCGCCGGACACGAGGGGGTAGGACATGTCAGCGCGCCTCTGCAGCCTGCGACACCTCTGGCTCTGTCTGTTCACCTGCAGGGACATCAAAGACGTTTCCATTACCAGTCAAACGCTACGCATCTTAATAGCATGAGCCTATTTGGCTACGGGTGTCTCTTTAGTGACACCGGTCCCACGGTAACAAAGAGACGGGATCAAGCCGAAGGTAAAGACAGTTGTGTTTAGCAACGTGACTCTCCCATCATAAGAAAGTCGTTACCATCAGTGAGTGAGATGCAGACACAAAAAACGGTCCCAGAGTTACTTGTGCAAAGAAGAAGGAAACATTCATGCAAAGGATTCAAACACACCTGTGTCATGTTCTGAAAATCAATGAGGTAGCAGAAGCCGATGGGCGTCAGGTCGAGGCAGGGCTGCTGCCGGCTGTGGGCGTTCTCGATGGCGATGGCCACCTCCATGTCGTAGGCCGTCCACGTCCCCGCGTCGTTCTCCCACTCCCACTGCCAGCCCTGACCGGGGGCCGAGGACGGGTCATAAAAACTCCTCCGCACCGGACGGATGGTTCCTGAAAGAAGAAACAGGCACGACGGTTAAAAATGTGAGGCGGTTAATGAACTCGCCCCAACGAGCTTCTGCACCAGGTGAACAACAGAGCAGCAGCAGGGAGGGGGGGGTCACATTGATGCTCCCAGGTATATATAACACTCAGTATATAGATAGTATAATGTGAACTCGACCTGTCGCGATAATCAATATATACACTTATTAGAACGTCACCAACATTTCAGACAATGGCGCTGCCTCTGTCCTCGTCAAAAGACTTTTAGAGACAATAGACGGGTCTATGTAGGACAACGTTAGGCCTTATAAGAACTACATGGTGAATACTCCAGGAGGCACACAAGGGGTCACCCTGAGGACAGACTGGGTGTGTCGTTCTGTTTCTAAAGAGGGGGATGAGCTTGGTTGTGCTCTAACTTTTATAATAGTCGTGAAAACCGACGTAGAAAAAGACGGCGGGAGGAGGATTCCTGAATCAACAAAGCACAAACTACCCAGGGGTAACAGGCCAGTCAGTCCATGCCAGGACAACAACACAAACACCGGGTGTGTGTGTTTGAGGGTAAGTGAGAGAATAGTACAAAGATGTGATATTGGTACAGTAGCATTGCTACAAAGACATCAAAAAGACAGCGTTGAATGTTTGGAGAGGACGGAGTCAGAGGCAATTTTCCATATTCATTTTAATATCAAAATCAATCTTTTTCGTAGTTTCATCTTCAGAGAACTGGTTGATCCGATGTGGGAACAGCTGAGAAGCTGCTTTTAATAAAAGAAATAAGTTACGGCATTATGACAAGGACGCGTGTGCGGGGTCAGAGAGAAGCCGTGTAATCACCGAGAGGACAACCTGCCTTTGTCCCCGAGTATGACATCATCACCTGGGATCAGGACGTGTGTTACGTGTGTGTAACCAGCCTTGATGGATAATCAACAGAGAGGGACTGCAGACAAACCTTTGACCGGGTCCAAACTGTATGTGACCTTCATGGAGTCAGCACCATGCAGGAATCAATGTCTTAATGAGACAAACTGTTCCTGAGTCCGCAGTTGGTTGGATGTTTAGTCTGTAATTCTAGCAGAAACATGCATAGTAATTAAAGCATGCTCATTTTCACGTTCATGCTTCTATAGAAGCAAAGACCGTCTGCTGGGTCTCAACACCAGACCGGTGGACCAGAGTGGTCACATGAGTGCAACCCCTGCAACGTCCTGAGCAACACTCCTCCACCCGACAGAAGGGCAGCAAGACAAGCATCACAGACACGGGACACTTTCTCTGTACTGCGACAATCACAGGCCACACACAAACTGTAACGTGTGCATGGACCTGTTGGTCCCGACATCCCTCGGTGCCCCGCGTCTGCCAAGTCAATAAGACTCAGACACGGGGAGCTAAAGCGCGTTGGGGCTCGGACAAACACTTGAGCATGAATCAGTCCAGGTGTAGCACACGTTGGCCTGGGTGTAGCGCACATTATCCAGGGTGTTGCACATGTTGGCCTGGGTGTAGCCTGGGTGTTACACACAGCACCATCATTGCTGCACCCTCAGGGCACCGCCCCCCCGAGTGCAGGCATGTAACGGTCTAAAGCCACCGGAGAAGAAAGAGAGCATGACCCACCAAGCTGAAGCTGCTGTTGTGTTTGAGGAGGAGCTAAAAGCAAACAAGGGATATGTGTGTGTGTGTGAGAATAATAAAAGGGCACCATTGAGAAACATTAAAGGGGTTGAAATGCGTGAGCGGGGGAGGGGGGGAGAAGAGGCCTGAGGCAGGTGGAGCAAGAGACCGGCCATCTGGTCCTCAGTGTTCTCTACCACCAAGGCCTCCCTTATACACACACACACACGCCAGAGTGTGCTCACCTGTGCGTGCACATGTCTGTGTCTGTGTGTGTGTATTGGACACGAAGGCGTCCATGGAACCCTGGACCGCAGTGAGCCCGTCCTTCCTCGTCCTCCGTCCATCTCGGCTGCCACTCACACAGATGTGTGGGACACGTTGGTGTCATTTTGAAGTGCTGCATGTGTGCCGTAAAAGGACGGACATGTCTCCTGTGGACCTCAGTGAAACCTACCGCGATGAGGGAATGCCTCCTCACCTGGAGTCTCCGACACCCTCCAGCACGGGCTCCCTTCTTCTATTTGAGTTGTGTTCATCACTTCCCCTCTTGTTATCACACCCTCATTTGTGTGATTTCATCTCTTCTCCTTCCGTGTTCTCTTTCTAACATGTTTCCTCTCCCCATGCAGCTCATGAACATACTCATGGTGTTCTGTCGGAAACAGATCATCCTAAATAGAACGACAATTCTATTTCTAATCTTTGTACTATTATTAAAGAAGAGTCCATCTCGCTCTATCACTCTGGGAGACACACACACACACACATTCTCTGGCACTAATTTGCTCTTTAGCAGCATCTCGTCTCTTGGACCCTGTAAACCCCATCACATGGGAGTCCTCCGCCACAGGCCATCCACCGTGTGACCAGGCTGGTGTGCTTCCAGGGCGGGGCTCTGAGGCCAGGCTGTCCAGAACCACAGTGATGTGAATATGTACTGATGTGCTCACAGGCTGTGTGCTGCAGTTACTTCATCTGGGTTTTAAGCTGTCTCGTCCTGTCTTCATCTCCTCCCTCTCCGCTGTTTGACTTTCGCTTCACCTCCCGTCAGCTCTCTCTCCACCTTTGTCTCTCCTTGAAAGACTCCAGTCCCCTGAGTTTTGGGTTCAGAGTCCATTTTCAGCTTCACAGTGTAATTGAGACAAGCAGAGAGGAGGGGAGCGAAGGTACAAAGAGATCGATCGGACAAAAGAAGAAGAGACTTTGCAGTCAAAGTGCGTCCTACAGGAAGTACTGCATTTGCAATGGCAAGCATGAATTACAATAGTACCTGTTGTACACAATTCCTCCATGAAGGGTTGACAGGTAATTAATACAGATTTGAATGACACGTCTCTATAGATCAGCAGGCATCCGTGCCAGCGATCTGCATGTCATCTGAGTGAGATGATTCACGACGTCATGCAAACAGCAGACGCAGCTTCCAGGAGACACGTGGATCCACGTCGTCTGGACAAAGCGCCCGACGTTTCATCACCAGTGCTTATTATTATTATTATTATTATTAATGTATTATTTGTATATATAGTTAACGCTTTCCGTGGGGGGAGACCCCCGTCGAACCCTTTCCTGCCCCTTCCTCCACCAGGACCCTAACACCCGTGGGGCATTTTGGGGGTCTGAGAGTGTGTCTCCTTTAACAGGACCAGCTGGAACGAGAGGAGTCACATGACACCAGAAAGAAGGGGGGGGGGGGGGGGGGGCTTTGCTTCTTTCCATTGTCTCCTGCTTCAGGCTAAACTAATGCAGGAAATCTCATAGTACACAAATATGGGATTATATAAACAAATTATATATAAATACGCAGATAACAATGTTATCCATCAGGTGTTCAACAAGACATCGGTTAAACGGGTGAAGGAAATATTAAAACAAAAATATCCCCCAGTGCCATGTTGGGGCAAGTGAAGAGAGCAAGTGAAGCAGCAATGCTAACCACACGCTAACAACACAAAGCTTTGATTGATGCAGATGTTGAGTGGCCGTCTCCCTCTCGTCTGTGCTCAGCGTTGTGAATGCGATCATCTCAACATTAACATTGAAGAATAAAGACGATGAGGCAGGCGTGTGACACCTCAAAAGCCCTGAGAGATGAAAAACAACTTCTCCGACCCGAGGTTGGACCCCACACAACATCCTGTCCCCACACAACATCCTGCCCCCACAGTGGGCTGAACACATTGAATCATGTGGATAAAGGTTGATGAGGACATCGGACATAAGGTGTTCCCTGTACACTGTCTTCAGTCAATATTTGGTTATCAGGGTCCACCAATGACTGCTCCCTTCTTTCTTCTCCGTCCGTCCTCCTTCCCTCCATCTCCTCCTTTAGTAAACAAGCGCCCCTCCTCCAAGGTCTGCACCTCCTGTGTGATGGATAACTCACATCTGTTCGACAACATCCAACAATGGTGACGGAGCGAAAGACGGAGAGAATACAGACTCCCATAATTATCTCACTCCTTCTGCAACCACCACTCCCAGTCAGTGCCCCCCCCACACACTGCACAAACACACTCCTATCGGTCTATCTCATGTCAAAGCCAAAACTAAAAAGGCTCTTGGGACTTGTGCCTATTGACCAAACTAAACACTTGTCCTAGAGAGATGACGAGGAAGGGGGAGAGGGTGACAGACGGGAGGGGGAGAGAGGGAGAGGTGGGGGAGTGGACAGCTCAAGTGAACTCTCTGCTCATTGGGCCTTTAAATATTCCATTCTTCCCAAAGAATCAAGGTCTCTCTCTGTTTCTACGTGTCAGGAGTGTGCAGCTGCTATGTGTGTGTGTGTGTGTGTGTGTGTGTGTGTGTGTGTGTGTGTGTGTGTGTGTGTGTGTGTCTGTGGATGTGCACGAGAGGGTAAGAGCTAAAGAATGCAGCTAACTCTGTGGTGCGATGGTGATTTGCAGCTGCTCCTCACTATCATATTGTTGAATGAACCCAACTCTCTCTCTCTCTCTCACACAGAAGTTCCACTCTTAACTTTGAAAAGGAGCTGAGTATTAAAATGAAATTAATCGATCGGTTAAATGCATTACACGTTTAACGGATTCCTTAAAGTTACTCTGAATGTGATGCAGCGAGGTGTCGATGACCCTTGATTAGATTTACGTAACAAGAAGTGAAACTAATTAATTTTGCTTCCAGAAGAGGATCTGTGTCTTATTTTGGTAGAAATGTCTGCACATTTGGAACACAGCATGGGGGTGCAATCAAAGAATTCCTGCGCTAATAACCATGTCGTCAATGTTAACACAAAGGTGGATATACCTGATATTGGGTTATCTGAAATCTCCACAGCAGGATCGCGAATCTTAAACAATGTTCTGCATTTCTTATAGAGGACCAAGCAGAACGGAGGCCTTCTATAGAGTCACACAGTATCTACCAGTGGGGGGTTTGGGGGTCAACAAGGACCTGAGGAATACATGCTGGGTAACAATCAGCAGTGTGCGTGGAGGTGCCACAGCTTACCTGTGTCCTGCCTGAACTGGTGCATGGACTGAAGATCTATGATGTACGGCGAGAGCCGGCTTTCCACCTTGCCGAGGACCACGCTCCCTCCGCGGGGGTCGCTGCTCCGGATGGCCGCCTCGATCTGGTGGGAGACAGCGGGGCCGTAGGGCCGCCACCGCCCGTGTTCGTTCAGCCATTCCCAGACCACCACGACGGAGGCCAGGAGCATGTTGTTACTGTCGGCCCTGGAGAGGAAATGACGGGTAAAACGGCAGGAAAATACGCACTTAAGAACCCGAAATGAAGCCTGCCTGCTCGAGGCAGCGGCCGAGCACACAAGGCTGCATACTTATGGAGCCGTATCGGTGTATAACAAGCCCTCCGTGGTGGTATTCCTCATCCCTCATAATTAATCAATACAGGCTGCCCCCCCACCCCGCTAAGCTAAAAACAAAGCCCTTTTTTTTTAGTTTCTTACATGGAGCGACAGCTGAAACCCGACCAGGCGACACATTCTTCTGCGTGGAGCCGACGGAGAAGACGACGAATCCCCGCGCGCTGTGCTTCTTCTCCGCGGAGCTCGCGCAGCACAGAGCGGCCTGCGCGCTCGTCCCCGCTGCACGCGCGCTTATCCCGCGTCAACTCCCGACTCGGCCGTTCGACGTCGACGGTGGGAGAAACCTCCTCTTTGTTTGGGGAAAAATAAAATATCCCAAATACGACTCGCCCTTTATGGGACCAGAGACGGGAGCGGCCTCGGCAGGGCGCGCGCGGCAGCGGCTCGAGTCTGCGCTTTTCTGCGGTACTTCGGGGCGTAGCGTACCGGGAATGTTGAGAAAGTAGTGGCTTCCAACTGCGCAACCTCAGTAGGAGCCCGGAACGGGTCACATCGGAACAGGTCCGACCGGGTCGCCGTCCACCACACGGTTCTTCTACCAGGCGATGTTTAAACGTGCCGCAGCTATTATATACATATATGAATACACGTGGATGTATTTATCTCTTCCACCACCGCGTAGAGGCGGAACAGGACCGGAATCGAACACTCACTTGTTGATAAGTATTTCTGGGTCCACTCTCCTAGACCGGGACACTCAGAACAAAATTAATTAAATGGACTCCACCACGGTTCTTTCCTTCTGGCCCTCCGCAAAGCCACTACAATCCTATGAAATACAGAACAAACAGAGAACCCGGATTACCTCTAATAGTTTGGGGGGCAGGAGACGGTTTGTCCATGATGCGTAGAAACGAAGTCTGCCATGTTTCTCGTTATCCGCTCGCGTCCATCGTTGCATCGCCGTGGGGGAACTTGGTGTGAGGCTCCAGCAGCCGGCTCGCGCCCCTCACCACGCCGCGCAATCCTCGCGGGGATTGGTGGGCGACGACCAATACAAAGACGGAGACCCACAACTTCGATTAATGTGGCTTGGTTTTACATACTGGACAACGTCTCGTCTTTGTGTCTCCGCGCTGTGAAAAAACTGATCATTGTGAACTCGTGAAGGTAAAATATGATGGTTTTACTTTATGCTCCAAATCTCAGTGGTTTTGTTTTTCTTTTCCTTTCCTTCGGTGTCGTCCGGTGGGGGAGCACTCGGTCGGCTCTTTGTGGTCACTTGTCACTTGCTGCCACCTGCTGAATAAATGTGATACTCCAAAAACGATCCCAATGTGTTTTTGATGCAGGCCGCACCCGAATACATGAAACGGTCCGTATGTGAAGGAATATTATAAATCCATTGATTGTAGTAAAATGCAAGTATTCTATTAACTTTCTTAGTACAAGTCCTATATCTGATAGAAAGAATAACAGGTTGATATTTATATTTGTCTGACAACCATCACCATCGACGCGGGCTCCATAGCTCAGGGGTTAGAGCACTGGTCTTGTAAACCAGGGGTCGCGAGTTCAAATCTCGCTGGGGCCTAACATCGTTTTTTCTTCTTTTCTACAATAACTTCTACATGAGTGTGGTGGAAATCTTCAGTTTCTAAACAAGCGGCTTAAAAATGTTTTTAACATTATACGGTCCGTGCATGAAATAAAAATAATCTCACGTGGTAAGATTAAAAATGTCAGTTTTCACTACAGCCTGTTCATCCTGCTGCGTCTGGAAAGATGTACAGAGGTTTCAGCTACATTATCAGACTTTCTCTGGGTCCAAATAAAATATATATTTTTCATATTCTATTATATTTCAAAAAGCTTTTTTGACCGATACAAAATCTTGGTTCTGCCTAATTGCGCTTTATTATAAATTAAAATACATGCTGATGCTGTTAGTTTGTTCTTCTACAAAAGGGGTGCCAAACCTGAACGCATTCTTCTCATCTTCTAAAAAGACAGACTTTATCTGTGGTATACAACTGCTTGTTTCAGCTCTATTTCTCCCTGATTACATCATTGTTTAGGATTCGGATCATATTCATCACTTAGATTGTTTATCGTTTTGTGTCTCCATTCCAGATGTTAGTGGGTACGTTTACTCCAAAGAGGTGTTCTTTGTCTTCTTGGTGGAGCTTCACTACTTTTAGTCTGTGAATATGAGACATCCTGGCTTCAAACTACCCTCGGGAAGAATTAATATCCAAGAGCCCATTCTTTGTTAAAGTCTCTAGTTAGGATGTTCTTTCTTTTCTCTTTTTGGAGAACGTCACGTGAAGTAACATTTCACTCAAATATGTAAATACAAATGTATCTCCTTCAATCTAATCTACCCTCTCTCCCGTGTGTGTACGTCTCACTCGAGCCCGGAAGCTTGTTGGAATACACATATCTGATTGGCTGAGTAGCATCACGTGGTATGATATACAAGGTATGTGATTGGTCGGTGTGTTTCCTCGGCCGCAAAGGCTTGACAAACTGCGAGGGGAACTATTGCAGGTACACGATAGGAACAAATAGATATATGGATCAACAATACATATTTTCTACCTTTTTAATATTATTAAATATCCCACAATTCCTTTGATTTTTTTGCATTTGTGATTGCTGACATGATTTCCTCAATCTTATACGGGCTCCCCCAAATGTGCTTTACTAATAAGTTCACTTCAACGATTTTCCTGAAGACCAGAGACTATACTTGGAAGCTGCAAACGCTTACATTTTTGCACAAATATAGACACTTTCTTAGCTAGATATTCAAAATAATTGCCTTTATTTCAAGAAGACAAGTTCTGCACATTTCTGTTTTTCAAAAGCTTTAATTACCTTTTAAACCTTGTCTGTGAAAAAAGGAGTTCATTAAGATTAGATATTTGTCCTAATCGTACTGGAAGCATACAAACAATACCAGTAGCAGTAACTCACTATGTGAGAGGCAAAAGTCAGTCAGAATGTCTTTTAAAAAATGATGCTCCATTAAATTCCAATTGAGAGCATCTAGACACAGTGGCATGATTTTACTCCTATAGTGTGTATATTTGGTGTCAGTTTCTGTTCTGGTTGTACTGAAGTCAAGTGCAAATGTGCACATGGACGGACATGATGGACAGCATCGTTATACAAGTGCAATCCCTGTTTAGCTGCGTTCAATTTATTTCTGTCAGGGAGAGACTATCGCCTCCCATTTGGGTCAAATCATTGTAGATCATCACAGGTCAGAAATCACAGGTATCCTAGAGATCGTCAAGGTGAAGCTCCATCCACCCTGCGTGCTGGATTCATGGCGCTGTTAGACGTCCTTAGTGACAGGTGAGCATTTCCTGGAGTGAAAATGCTCTGCTCCGTTGGCGGCTGTTAGCTTTTTGGCGCCTGTGAGCAGTGGTGGTCGTGTTGCCGGGGGCCTTGTTTGACTTGCTTTTGCAGTGGGTGATGCAAACAGCCAGCACCATCAGCAGCAGCCCAAACCCCACACCCACACTGTACCAGTGGGGAAAGAGGAACCAAGAGGAACCTGGAGAGGAAACTGAGAAGATGCAGAGAGAAAATCAAGCTGAGGCTAGAATCAGAATGACTAGAGAAGCACACTTTTCCAAAAAGCAGTGGCTCTGTATCTTCTCTAGTTATCCTTGGCCCAGCTTGAAGGGTGAGCTGTGACACCACACATCACCTATTTGCATTCAAATTGTTGCATTTCTGTTTCTTATGATGGAGACCGGCTGCCGGGCACAGACATCTGCAGCGTGGAGAGAACGCCGACAAACAGTGGTGCATCCAGGCTTTCTCTTACCTTGAAGTGTGGTTCCTCTCCCGACTATGAAATGTGAGTCCACATTGGCAACACAATAGTACAGGCCCAGGTCTCTCTCCTCCACAACAATGATCCTCAACGCCAGAGATCTGTTCATCAAAACCACAGAGAAACGAGGGCTGAGCCGAAACCCTGCGGAAAAAAAGTTATCGTCTGTTGAAACCAGTTTAAATATTATTCCATTTTCTGCCATTAGAACGGGCAAAGGAAGCAGCAGATACACTCGACCTCTGCATCTCATGAGGAGTCAGGGGATGAGCTATGATGTATGCAAACCTTTCCACATCAGTTGAAACAGCATTTAGATCATGCACTACCTTGTGTTGCTTCTCCATCTCTGAGACTGGCGCAGAGGACCACAGTGGGGGTGAGATGAGGGTTGTGCTTTAGCCATGTTGTGTGGTAAAGGTAGGAGATGTTACAGCCCAGAGTGATGTTTGACTCGTACTGGACATGTCGGACCTCAGCAGCGGGCACAGAAGGCATCCAAAAAGCAAGCATGTTGATAACCCCTATGGAGTGGAGCACAAGGACAGCAAGTTCACCAAAGCATGTTAGCGTGGTGACATTAACACTCCCCGCCTGAGTATTCAAAGTTAAGTTCATTAACATGTTCAGAAACTTATTATTAAAAACCCAGGCCTTTCATCAAAGCGTTTTCTTTTATACTTTTACGTTTCACTGTATTACAGCTGAATTTCACCAATTGTAGCCCACACATATTTTTTTGTCTTCCCCCATGTTTTGTTAAGTTGTAATATTTTTGTTCAATATAATGAAACAATTACTATTATGACATTATCCTCCCGTTGCTCCTATTTTACATTGACAAATCTGTTCCGTCCAGAGTAGAAACCGGACCCCCCCCCCCACCGTTCTTTAGGTGGAGAGTGAATTTTCCTCACCTATGAGTCAAAGGAAGTAACTTCCAGTTATTCCTTCTACATGAGAGCACCCCGGGGGGCATTCACTACTCACCAAGGACCATGGTTGTAATCCAGTGGGACTTCATCTCTTTGTATCGTTGTTTATCGCTGCGTTCACCTGCTCTTCGTGTTTATGACGTTATGTTACTTCCGCTTCTCTGCAAAACCACTATTTCCACGGAAGAACCACACTGTGGGCGTGTGTGTGTGTGTGTGTGTGTGTGTGTGTGTGTGTGCGTGTGTCCTCTTTCCTTTTAGTGCCAGAACATTTATTTAAGCCTCACACATTTCGACTACAATGAGCTGAAATCTCTAACAATACGTTTAGATCCTGTATTCTGTGTTGTCTATGTAATTGTGTTGGGAAAACTAATAAAAAAACAAAATGAGTCAATATTACTCAACATGAGTCAATATTCCTAGTAGACTTGATGCATGACGGTGACAGTTAGCTCCAGCTTGACCTTTTACCTTTACTGCATGTCCATCCATCCATCTTCAACCGCTTATCCGGGGTCGGGTCGCGGGGGCAACAGCTCCAGCAGGGGACCCCAAACTTCCCTTTCCCGGGGCACATCTACCAGCTCTGACTGGGGGATCCCAAGGCGTTCCCAGGCCAGTGCAGAGATATAATCTCTCCACCTAGTCCTGGGTCTTCCCCGGGGCCTCTTCCCAGCTGGCCTTGCCTGAAACACCTCCCTAGGGAGGCGCCCAGGGGGCATCCTCACCAGATGCCCAAACCACCTCAACTGGCTCCTTTCGACGCAAAGGAGCAGCGGCTCTACTCCGAGCTCCTCGTGAATGGCTGAGCTTCTCACCCTATCCCTAAGGGAGACGCCAGCCACTCTCCTGAGGAAACCCATTTCGGCCGCTTGTACCCGTGACCTAGTTCTTTCGGTCATGACCCATCCTTCATGACCATAGGTGAGGGTAGGAACGAAGATTGACCGGTAGATCGAGAGCTTTGCCTTCCGGCTCAGTTCTCTTTTCGTCACAACGGTGCGGTAAAGCGAGTGCAATACCGCCCCCGCTGCTCCAATTCTCCGGCCAAACTCACACTCCATCTTCCCCTCACTCGTGAACAAGACCCCGAGGTACTTGAACTCCTTCACTTGGGGTAAGGACACATTCCCTACCTGGAGTAGGCAATCCATCGGTTTCCTGCTGAGAACCATGGCCTCAGATTTAGAGGTGCTAATCCTCATCCCGACCGCTTCACTCTCGACTGCGAAACGCTCCAGTGAGAGTTGGAGGTCACAGACGGAAGATGCCATCAGGACCACATCATCTGCAAAAAGCAGCGATGAGATCCGCAGCCCCCCGAACTGTAGACCCTCCTCCCCCCGACTACGCCTCGATATCCTGTCCATGAAGACCACAAACAAGATTGGTGACAAGGCGCAGCCCTGGCGAAGGCCAACCCCCACCGGAAACGCCTTCGACTTACTGCCGAGCACCCGAACACAGCTCTCGCTTTGGGCGTACAAGGATTGGATGGCCCCAAGCAAGGACCCCCTCACCCCGTACTCCCGCAGCACCTCCCACAGTATCTCTCGGGGGACCCGGTCATACGCCTTCTCCAAGTCCACAAAACACATGTAGACTGGTTGAGCATACTCCCAAGCCCCCTCTATGATCCTGGAAAGAGTGAAGAGCTGGTCCGTTGTTCCACGACCAGGACGAAAACCGCATTGTTCCTCTTCAATCCTTGGTTCGACTATCGGCCGAACCCTCCTTTCCAGCACCTTAGAGTAGACTTTACCCGGGAGGCTGAGTAGTGTGATACCCCTGTAATTGGCACACACTCTCTGGTCCCCCTTTTTGAAGAGGGGTACCACCACCCCGATCTGCCACTCTTTTGGCACTGTCCCAGACTTCCACGCAATGTTGAAGAGGCGTGTCATCCAAGACAACCCCCCAACACCCATTGCTTTTAGCATCTCTGGACGGATCTCCTCAATCCCCGGGGCTTTGCCACTGCGGAGTTGTTTGACTACCTCAGTGACTTCCACCAGGCTAATTGACGATGATCCCTCCTCCGCCTCCAGCTCCGCCTCCACCAAAGAGGGCGTAGTAGTTGGGTTCAGGAGTTCCTCAAAGTGTTCCTTCCACCGCCCGATAACCTCCTCAGTCGCGGTCAACAGGGTCCCATCCTTACTGTACACAGCTTGGATGGTTCCCCGTTTCCCCCTCCTGAGGTGCCGGATGGTCTTCCAAAAACACTTAGGTGCCGACCGAAAGTCCTTCTCCATAGTTACCCCGAACTCCTCCCATACTCGCTGCTTTGCCTCCATCACGGCAGAGGCTGCTGCCCTTCGAGCCTGTCGGTACACTGCAACTGCCTCTGGAGTCCCACCGGATATCATAACCCGGAAGGCCTCCTTCTTCAGTCGGACGGCTTCCCTGACCACCGGTGTCCACCACGGAGTTCGAGGGTTACCGCCCCTTGATGCACCTAAGACCTTGAGGCCACAACTCACCGCCGCGGTTTCAGCAATGGAGGTTTTGAACATAGACCACTCTGGTTCAATGTCCCCTACCTCCACAGGAATGTGAGAGAAGCTCCGCCGGAGGTGTGAGTTGAAAATCTTTTGGACCGGGGCCTCCTGCAGACGTTCCCAGTTCACCCTCACTACACGCTTGGGTTTACCGGGTCTGTCCCGAGTCTTCCCCCATCCTCTGACCCAGCTCACAACCAGATGGTGATCAGTTGACAGCTCTGCCCCTCTCTTTACCCGAGTGTCCAGAACATGCGGCCTCAGATCAGACGATACGATTACAAAATCGATAATTGATCTTTGGCCTAGGGTGCTCTGGTACCACGTACACTTATGAACATCCTTATGTTCGAACATGGTGTTTGTTATGGACAATCCGTGACTAGCACAGAAGTCCAGTAACAAACACCCGCTCTGGTTCAGATCAGGGAGGCCATTCCTCCCAATCACGCCTCTCCAGTTATCTCCATCGTCGCCCACGTGCGCATTGAAGTCTCCCAGTAGGACTATGGAGTCCCCTACAGGAGCCCCATGCAGGACTCCATTCAGGGTCTCCAAAAAGGCCGAATACTCTGAGCTGCTGTTTGGTGCATAGGCACAGACAACAGTCAGAGTTTTCCCCCCCACCACCCGAAGGCGTAGGGAGGCGACCCTTTTGTCCACTGGGGTAAACTCCAATGTAGCAGCACTCAGCCGGGGACTTATGAGTATCCCCACACCCGCCTGGCGCCTCACACCATGGGCCACTCCGGAGTAGAATAGAGTCCACCCCCTATCCAGGAGTGTGGTTCCAGAGCCGAGGCTGTGCGTAGAGGTAAGCCCCACCAGATCCAACTGATAACGCTCCACCTCCCGCACAAGCTCCGGCTCCTTCCCCCCCAGAGAGGTTACGTTCCACGTCCTCAGAGCCAGCATCTGCCGCCCAGGTCTGTTCCGTCTAGACCCCCCACTGTCACTGCCACCCTTGTAGCAGCGCACCCGACCCCATCGGTTTCCTCCACAGGTGGTGAGCCCATGGGGAGCCTTTACTGCACGTGAAGTTGCCAATTCTACTTCACATGCAGTAAAGGCTCCCCGTACCCTTTACTGCATGTGAAGTTGCCAATTCTAGCTCCATGGGCCGGTCCACCTTGGATCACTCCACCTACGGATGGACTTAAACCCACAACCAGCCACCTGGTGAGATGTGAGGAACCTGCTTCCCCTTATGAGCGGCTGCCTCTGTGTTCGTTACCTGTGAAAACAAAACTGGAGACATCTTAGTTAGCGCCTCAGTATACTCTCCAACCTCTAGTGTTAGCACATCTGGGCCGGGCCCATGGCTGCTAGACCTCACAGCAAGAAGGTCCTGGCTTCTAATCCACTGTGGCGGTCCAAAATGAAGAAACTGCGGACCAACCAAGGACATCATGGATCGTAAAATGTAGAGTAAAAAGTATTTAATAATGCAAACGGCATTGTGGTACGGAGCAAACATCTCACACAACAGAAACTGTAGTTTGAAGTTTTCCGTCCAGTCTAGTTTGGATTGATGCAGATGTCTGCAGATACGCATCTCGAGTGTGACTGAACAGAAGTGAACAAGATGTGTGCGCTACAAACTAATGGGCTGTTGATTGTATTCAACCAGTTTTATAGTGCAATTATATGTCTGCCTCTTTCTCAATACATGGATGTAGAATTCAAAGTAAAGGTTGCTGTTTTGGTAATATGGGTAAACAGACCCTAAATATCAAAAACAAAATTGGTACTAAAACATATTTTCAAGAGCAAAACTTGACAAAAACACTTAATTTGTGTGTATTTTGCTTTAGTTTTTATTACTATCATTATGCTACTGCAGTGTTTTTCAAATGAATGTAATGTTGTATTTTGCTGTTGTTATTATTATCAGGAGTATCAGCAGCTGGTCCAGTTTGTTCCTTTCAGGACCTCTGATGACGCAGCAGCGCGAAGGTCCTTCAGGAACAATCCCAATTCATGCGGGACAGAGGAGCACTGAGGGAACACAGCTCCGTGTTGCTATACGGAGATATAAGAGGAGTAATGGTGGTCACAGCTGTTTGAGTATAGAAACGACTTTGAGTTGAAACGATCGGACTGCGGCCGTAGATCAGGAAGCGCTGGATGAAGGAGGAGAGCTGCAGGTGAGACGCTAACTTAACTTGGCTAACTTGGTGTTAGCATGTTCGTAAACGTGCTTTCTGTCAAACCAGCTGTCAACGTGACGTGAGCTCATATTTACTGCTGTCACTTCGAGGCAGTTGCTGATTTAGTAGGAAACAAAGCGAACTAACTGACGCTCATTCTGACTGTGCGCGTAACACTGAACTTAGTCCAACTGAGGCAATTGCTGTCATGTTGTGTGTTCTGTTTGCCAGCTGAGTAGCTTGCCTGCTAGCATAATAAGTTACGCTAGCCACCCTGACGCATTTGATTCCGAGGTCCTTGTAAATAGTAGCAGCTAACTTACTAAGAGCCCCTCATGGGGAACGCCGGTCGGCCATGGTCGCTGTGGCGTTAGCCGGGTTACGCTTCGCCCACACAACTGCTTCGTGGTGGCTAAGCTAACGCTAGCTAGCTTTTGGGAGGGCGACGTATAAGAAATCCGACACGTTTACGGACAGATGACCGAACGTCAGTGTGGCTGTCAAATGTGTGTGTTTAGTTATTACCAACCTCGGTTAAATGCCAGTTTGCTCCGGAGAGGCCACGACAGTTACATGCTTCATGGACCGAAATACTAAACTATATATATATAATTAGATTGAAGTGAGAAGGTGATGTCGTGATCTTCGCAATAAAACATTTGACGCGACGTGTTCGCATGATCGTAAGCACTTTAATGGTACTGATAATGTCTCTTATCTTTAGCAAGTTGTAAATCTGCTTATTTGAAGAAATTGCACTTTGTTTCTTGTGCTTCTGAGTTTGTATCTTATTGATATTTGCTATAAGCCTCACCTAAATGACGTAATGTAACGTGTCCAATCAGCGTTGAGATGTACGTGTTTCTCTGATCAATGAATCGGATCGGTTTCGTCTTTGGGCCCAACAATCAAAAGAGCGTGGTTATAAAAGATCGAGGCTTCATCAGATAACGTGGATCTCATTTGTATGACAGATTATTCTACATTGGCTCACTTTTTGGATTGCATGCATATCTAAAAGGCAAATTCTGACCACGAGCACGTAGATCGTAGCTGTGCGAGATGGAGGTTTTGGGTATTGACTGTGCGATCCGTTTCAGGATGGCAGGAGTGTTCGACATCGACTTGGAGACAGAGGACATCAGTGATCCGGAGGTCTGTGTCCACCTGCCATACAACTGCTGCTGATCACTCACACACACACACAGTACACAGGAATGAGCAAACCATTACTTACTGCCTCGCCACAGGTTGTATATCTGACCACAAACACAGACAACATCAGAGTGTTTTAATAAAGCGCAGCTCGGGGACACAAAGTGGACTTGCTTTACTTGCTTTGTTTAACCTCTTTGGTTTGCTGATCCCATGTGTAGGATGACGTCTGTGACTTCACTGTGAGAGAACCAGAGCAGTAAGTGGAACTTACCGATTAGTCAATGCTCCGTTGTAGCAGGCCAACGTATTCCTGACCGCCGTGTCTCGCTGTGTCCCGTTCGTCCCAGTGTGCAGACAGAGGAGGTGGAGTTGACCAGTGAAAGTGTCAACAGAGACAGTGAGAGAGTTGGACCGGACTGTTTTGAGCTCCTTACTGTGCTCGGAAAAGGAGCCTACGGCAAGGTGTGTGTGTGTGTGTGTGTACACACATTTTACCTTTCTAAAGGTTTTGAATCTGCACACTTCCTTCTGTTTCAGATTTTCTTTACTTGTTCATGTTTTTGTATTTCCAACTACTCAGAAAATGAATTTGAGAAGTGGGGTGAATTATTCTTGATCCTTGTTTGACGGGTTTTGAAAAAGTTTTCTATTGAAAATAATTCAATGTGCTAGAAAGGGCAGAATATCGTAGACATCTCAAAATATATACAATATATAATATTTGAATTGATAAAAGTCTGGGCTTTCATTTCCACCCTAAGCTGAATGATCAGGACTGTTTAGTCAGCAACATATTGTTTCTTTTAATGAAATTGTGATCTAATTAATTTAACAGTCAGAAAGTGACGTAAATCAAGTTATTTCGATGCTATTATTAAGTACTCCTATTGGAAAATACTGAAGAGAAAGTGGTATTGGTGCATCCCTTGAGCGGGACTCGGGGTCCGTCTGGCCTGTTACACACCAAAAAAAAGCAATTTGACACTTTGGCTCAATTTGAAGGACTATTTTTCAAAAATACTTTCATATAACTTTCTTTGATAAGGAAATACTGCATCTTGTGTGTATATTTATAAAGACCTAATATCTTTTTTTTTAGGTTTTCCAGGTGAGGAAGGTTCAAGGGACTCAGATTGGAAGCATATTTGCCATGAAGGTTCTGAAAAAGGTATTTAGTCTCCCCACGTGCACAATGAGCGCTTCATGAGCCCCTGCCTCTTGTCGCTTCCCGTCCCTCAGTCTGTCTCCACGTGTCCCCGTTGGACCAGGTACTCTGCTCACTGGTCTGGTTTGTCTTTAGGCAAAGATCGTGTGTAACGCCAAAGACACGGCCCATACGCGGGCAGAGCGGGAGATCCTGGAGACGGTGAGACACCCGTTCCTGGTGGACCTGCTGTACGCCTTCCAGACGGGGGGGAAGCTCTACCTCATACTGGAGTGCCTGAGTGGTAAGTGAGGAGCTAAGAGTGGAAGCTTCATTCTCATGTTTACATGCTTCTACTCCTTGCTACGCATGCACGTGCAGTGATCCTGCTCTTCCTTCTGTACTGTTTTCCACCAGGAGGGGAGCTGTTCATGCAGCTAGAGAAGGAAGGCATCTTCATGGAGGACACTGCTTGGTAAGGACACACACAGTGAAGAAGACATTAGAAACACAACACTTGCTTTTTGTCTTTTTGAAGGTTTCCCTGCTGACTCTGATTTTAAGTATATTTCACGTTCACTACCGTATCTGTAGCTTTTCTCTCGTGGACAAAGTTCGCCTTATTAAACTTCATGTTAATGATGCGTTTGTTCCTTATACAGTTATTTATTCCTAGTCCACTTTTGGCATTTAAAGCTCATTCTGCTTCTGTTACAACCTCAACTCTTTCTCTGGAAGCTTCTATCTAGGAGAGATCACATTGGCTCTCGGTCATCTCCACTCCAACGGGATTATTTACCGAGACCTCAAACCTGAAAACATCATGCTTAATCACCAAGGTAACGTGCCGCGGCTTCACTGTTCGATGCCATGAAATGTTCCCCTCTGCTCCTTTAAGTGAGCGCACCGTGTGGTGCCTTTGTGTTGTTTCCTGCCCCCCCCCCCCTTTGCCTCATTGCTGTCAGTTCCTCCATCTAAATTGTGTCTGCACGTCAACATGGATCATCTGTTTTTCTTCTTCCTTTTTGAAGGACACATCAAGCTGACCGACTTTGGCCTCTGTAAGGAATCCATTCATGATGGAAGCGTCACACACACCTTCTGCGGCACCATCGAGTACATGTGGGTGACACACACATGCATGCACACACTGCCACGCTGTGTTTAACGCTTAGTGTCTGTGTGCGTGAAGCTCATTTATGTGTGTGTTTTATCAGGGCTCCAGAGATCCTGACCCGGTCCGGTCACAACAGAGCGGTAGACTGGTGGAGCCTCGGGGCCCTGATGTACGACATGATGACCGGATCAGTGAGTACGGACTCACTGAGAGTCATGACCTCTGACCTCATGGGCCTCATGTCGGCTGGGACCGGCTCCACTAACGGATTGGATTTATATCTCAGTAAAAGGACAAAAATATCACCCATAAATTCTTCAGATGAAAAGTCGTTATTTTGGCTGATTAGTCTTTTCATTAGATGACAGAAGTTGCATTGAAAATAGAATATCATCCCACGGCCTCAGACAGTGCGTGTGCCCTTTGTTGTGTTCCTGGGGCGAGGGTTGTATTTAGAGGTAAAGCGAGATGAAGCTTAAACAACAGGAGGCCTGGAGACATTTGTTCCCGTAGCCCCATATCGCTGTGAACTGCAGCACACACCCCCCTCCCTAAAGGGAACTGTTTGAGTGACTACTGTGATTCTCCCCCAGCCTCCGTTCACAGGTGAAAACAGGAAGAAGACCATCGATAAGATCTTGAAGTGTAAACTCAATCTGCCGCCGTACCTGACCATCGACGCCAAGGACCTCATCAAGAAGGTCTGTAAAACAGGTTTTTTACAAGAATTTGCAAGAAAAAGATTTCATGTTAAAGCAAAAATACATTTTTTACAAACTGCCAAATAATAATACATAGTGTAAAATAAGTGTTTGCATGAATACCCCCCCCCCCCCCCCTGCCGCGAGTCAAGTGATTGTAGAATAAAGCCCCTGTGTCTCGGAGGTCCATCACTATTCCTGCTACAAGAGAATAGATCAATAAAAAAGTCAGGGGATAGTTACAAAACCTCCCTGGACGTCCCACACAGCTCAGTCAGATCCATCATTCACACGTTAAAGGAGTATTGCACACGTGTAAATCTGGCCTGTCACCTGCCCAAAGGTATGTAGGAGACTCCAAGGTCAACTGGAAGAAGGTTCTTTGATGGACAAATGTAGCTTTCTGGCCATCAGACTAGACGCTGTGTTCATGAACCGCTAACGCGATGGGGACGTGTCCACACTGTGACTGCAGCCAAAGGCACATCTACTAAATACCGAAGGGGGTGAATATGCAATCATTTAGTTGACCTTGTTTTTATTCATTTAAATTATTTTGTAAACTCATAGAAACAAGAGCAAATATGGTGAGAAAAGTGGGTTTGGACATTTTCCCCGGGCGATCTCTTTGTTCCAGTGCGGCTGGTCCTCTACAGTCCCCGTGTTACGCCTCCAAATGTTCAGTGTAGGCAGTGTTCACAGGACAATGTGTCTTCTGACCTTTCCTCTCAGTGCAGAAGTATGACAGCCTCACACCACTAAACCACAAAAGCCATATAGCATCATATTCAAATCTCTGTTTCATAACAACCATCACTCAATTCTGCTTTTCTTATGGTGCTGAAACGGGCTGTTCTTCCTTTAGCCTTTCTTTCAAAATCGCTCAGAAAGCCAAAGCAATATCAAAGAGGACAATTCTGAATATTCTGTCTGCAAAAGGTCTCTTACCTCAATCTCCTTTGGTATTTTAGATCAATGCACAAGAGCACATGGATCGGCCACGTTATTCTGTATCCATGCCAGCCATTTGCTTTCTGTCTGTAAAGGGGCATTCTGATAAAAGAACCAAATGAAGGGATTCGCTTCTAGCTGATGTGTAAAAGCACCGTCTCACCACACGGTGTCACTGGGCCTCTCACGATGTGATCCAAGTTTCCTCTGAACCAAACGCTTCATACAGTTTGGGCCACCAACATTGTGAAATATTCTGATTACATTGATAACCCCCCCACCCCTTTTTTTCATTTTATGATTGCTCCATGGAAACAATGACAACCCATTTATTGAAGTTGTTGTCTGTAATTAGATGCAGGACCTTTTTTGTGTTTTTCCTTTCAGCTGTTGAAGAAGAATCCAGCCCAGAGGCTGGGCTCCAGTAAAACGGACTGCGCTGATATCCAGGTATCTCTTCACGGGGGGGGCCGATATCCTGCAGTGGTCACCAAACAAGTGCATGTAATTAGGAGAGAATCATTTTTCAAAATGAACACGTTTTTAGGAAAAACGTTGTTTTATTTGTTTTTTTCTCTGCGGCCCGGTACTAAGTGGCCTAGTAGGAAGTATGGAAGACTTGACAGCCGAGTACTGCCTCGTCAAGTATTCATGCAGCGTTTGGCTGATAGACGAAACAACCGTCCGACAGGGGAGGAGGAAGTTGGGGGGGGGGAGGAGGAAGTTGGGGGGGGGGAGGAGGAGGGAGTTGGGTGGGGAAGGTGTAGTTGCGTTCTCTGTCCGCCGGGTGTCGCCTGGCAAATATGTCAAGAGGGAGGAGCGCACATAATTAGGGCAATTTTCAAAATAAAACAAACAAACAAAAAACGCCAAATGACAAAAAAGAAAGTGTTCTCTGGTGTGGCCCGATGGTTGTGGACCTCTGTTCTAGACTGTAAAAGAGTTGACATCCGTTGCAGTCAGACGAGGAGCTGAAGGAAATTATTCTTCTAGTTAATTTGTGTCATGTGACTTCAATGATTTATAGCTAATTAGAAAGGGTTCGATCGAGGGACGCCGACATGATTTGAAACGCTTCCCACAACCAGCAGTTGTACTCTCCAAGGTCTTGTGTTTTGGAGACTGGGTTCCACAGAGAATCTTCAAATGAGCCTTTTTGTTCCACTGCAGAAACACCCGTTCTTCAGGCACGTCAACTGGGCCGAGCTGCTGAACAGGACGGTGGAGCCGCCGTACAAGCCACAGCTGGTGGGTCAGCAGCTGTCCGTGTAGCCCGTTACCCCTCCTTCCTCTCAACCTCCACCCGCGGTACCTCTTCCATGGCCACCTTCCTTTCTTACACGCCTTCGTCTAACCCGCTAACGCTTTGTTGCGTCTACGTAGCGTTCGGCCGAGGACGTAAGCCAGTTTGACACCCGGTTCACCAAGCAGCCCCCGGTGGACAGTCCAGACGACAGCAACCTGAGCCACAGCGCCGAGCTCGCCTTCGCTGTGAGATGCTCTCAGAAACCACTACTTGTATTCGTGATCAGTCAATGCTCTGTTGGTCTAAAAAGCTTCTCTGTCAGGGCTTCACCTACGTGGCTCCATCGGTCCTCGAGAGTCTAAAGGAAGGCTTCTCATTCGAGCCCCGAGCGCGGGCGGTGCGCCGACACAACAGCAGCCCCCACACGCCCATCAGGTAACACACACACACTCCGAGATGGGGTCCGTAGAGGAGGAACATCCTCATAACTTCCGTGTCATTTTTCTGTGTCTTTCAGTCCCCCGAACTTTTCTCAAGCGGGACCTTTCAAGTCCAGCATGGAGGTGGGAGAGTCGTACCCGTTCTCTCCCACCTCCCCGGCGCCGGCTGCGGCCCGCGCGTCCCTGGACAACGGAGCTGCCAGTCAGCCGATCAGGACGCCGGCGAGGAACGACAAGCAGAAGGGCCATCGGAGATGAGAGAGGCATCTCCAAGACCCCCAGCAGACATTTGTCCTAGTATATAGTAAGTGTTGAGGCAGCGTGCGCAGGTGTTTCTGCTGGTGTCGGGCTTTTTGGGGTGGCTAAGAAGCCTCAATGAAAGTTCATTTGTGTCATTGAGCTTTGCAAATAAATCCAATAGTGTTGGGGCTGTTTGCCATGTCCCTGTCTACAGGTGGGTCCTTCTCCACAGACCCACTGGAGCAACATGGAATCCTCATGGATGTACAGCTTCCATATGCCTCTGCTGGTATATGGCAAACTGACTTAATATTCTCTACAAGAAGAACAGGAAAGAGGGTCGATGATGATTCTTCTCCACAGTAACCGTGTTGAACTTTGTATGTACATGTTAGCTTGACTGCAGTAACGGGAAACTGATTAAAGCTTTCTGTTTCGATTTAGGCTATTAGCTTCTAATAAGTTCTCAAGTCTTTGCAAACAGATTTTCCTTCCATCAGACAAGTGATGAAGCAGTACTTGATTTAATCTGAGAACTAACTGCTCAAGCTTGGAGTAGTGGGATTTGGGGGACTATAGCATAACAAAATCTCCTGGAATAAACGCTACATTGCACACAGAAGGTAATGTGATCACCAAAGCCATATTTGATCCTGTGTAAATATGGTGACATTCATCTGTTTGTCATTTCTCTGAGCTTTCCTTCCAGAGAATCTTTGTGACTAATGCCAAAGCTTTTGACTCATCCTGTCATATCGTACAACTGTCCGTACTGTGATCGAGTGCACTGGACATCGCAGGTACACTGTAATCATGAATTTGGGCGGTTGAAGAGGTTGTGTGTGTTTATAGTAGTTAAAAAGTGTTCATATAAGTACATATCTCCATATAATTAATACAAGGTACAGTCAATGCAGGCTGTAAAAACTGTGCGCTCTGTATACAAATCATATTAAATCTAAAGTATTTTGGGTTACCGAAGAAACTTATTTTTACAAATGATTAATAGTGTTTGACGCATTTTGTTAGTGACATAAAAAAAAACAATGAATTGCTCGATATATTCTAGTGTTTGTCATTGCCTGACATTGCTGGGTCAAGGTCCTGTCGGCTTGCTTATAAGCCAAAAGCACTTGGAGGGATTGTGGAAAGATTATGGGGTTCATTCATGTTGTTTTCTTACAAATAAAAGTGACTCGCAGATTGAGGTCACTTCAATCAAATCCTTGCCTTTTTCAGTATACCTTGTTACCGGACCACATCAAACATGTAAAGGACCAAGTTGTAGGACTTAGTGAGGTCTAGCCTCCCTTTCATCACGTGTACCAAGGCAGGCAGCCATGTCCGGCTTTGGAAAGGTGGCCCATGCTGAAGTGCCTAAAGCTGCATTCTCACTAATGTCCATTATGACATTAGTGATATTAGTGACATTAGTGAATGACTTCGTCATTTGCTGACAACCGGTCTCCCTAAATCCTACCACTAGTATAAGTATTAGTTTAACAACTGAACAATATGCCTTTAACCCCCTCCTGGCAGGGACACACGTGGAGTCAGATGTGCTGGAGATGCTAAATGGCTGTTTGGTGTGAAGGGGTAGAAAAGGAAAGACATGGCTGATCAAAGTTCATACTCCATTGGCTTCACTGGAGACCAAATCAAATGTTGTATCAGGTATAGACTATGGAGACCCAAAAGATTAAATAATATATTTATGACACATACATAATTACATAAAGAATGGATGTGCAGATAAAATATGTAACAAATTTGGCTGATTCAGGGACAACTTGTGGCCTGATATCAAACATTAATGCTCACTAGACCCAGACGGGGAGCCCTAAGGATGTTCGTGATCCAGCAAGTACAAGGTTCCTCCGGAGCCCCGAGATATGTCGTGTTAGCGCAACATGCTGATGATCGTGATACACATCTGGCTACTTGCTAAACATCAGCATGTTAGCATGCTCCCCTTAGCCGGTCACATGAGTATTCACTAAGACAGGAAAATTACATTTTTGACTTTTGAAGAAGAACGTTCTGAAATTAAAAGCGATGGAATGGCAAAAACTAGGAAATAAAATTAAATGGACAATTTTGGATCTTTGCAGATTTTATTTAATTTTCTGTAATTCTTGCTAACTGAATGTTGTGTTAAGAATAAATTACTTTGTTTCAGTGAATTTTTTTATTGATGATAGATCCACGTACATGTATATGTGTATATATATATATATATATACCCAGGGTTTATACGGGTAACGGGTTGACACAGGTGTCTTTTATACGGGTAACGGGTTGACACAGGTGTCTTTTATACGGGTAACGGGTTGACACAGGTGTCTTTTATACGGGTAACGGGTCGACGCAGGTGTCTTTTATACTTTTAAGTTTACATCAACATGGTTCCCTGTATCCAAAACCATGTCCTGAAGTCAATGGGTGCAGTAGCCAAATTGTATGGATTTGTATTCACAGTTCAACACCCTAACATTGGTAGCTGAGTTGAGTTTAGCTTCTGTGCGTAGAAGATATCTCTTTTTGCTGATGACATTACCACTTCATATACCGTGAAAGATGGATCCGTAATTGGATATGAGCGTAATCTTGATACAATTTAAATTCTGTTACTGTATTCAATTATTACAGTGTCCCTTTCAAGTGACTCGTAGGTTGCAAACATCTGGGCCCGGTTTTTCAAAAGGTTTAATCCGGATAAAATTGATCCGGATTTAGTAATCCTTTTTTTTGCGATCCGTGATCACGTAATCCAGTTTACTTTTGAGCCAGTTTTTCAAAGCAACATCGGATTGGATCAATCTGATCCGGATAGGAACTTTTCAGGATCATCAAATCTGGATAACCAGTGCTCAAACAGGATAGGAAATCACATTGTAGAACTATAGATATGTAAAGAGCAACAAGTAGAATAGCCAGTGTGGGGTCAATATAAGTTTTTTTTATTTTTATGAAAACACACACACATTTAAAAAAAAAAAAAAAAAAAAAGAAAAACCCCACTCCATCCTCTTCCAGCAGTCCGCTTATCTGAGACCTACAACACAAACACTGTACATTTGAGGATATTTATAACAAGTTTCAAATATAGATGTATTGAATTAAAAAAAAGACTTAATGTCAAATACTCCACAATAATTTCAGACTTCCTCATCCGATGTGGAGAGACCAGCTTGTCTAAGCGTAGCCTTTAGGAGGCGGATCTCAAGTCTGGCCTTGGTTTGCTGCAGTTTGGTCAGAGTCAGTTGTTCCACTGCCAGAACGAGCAAACAGGACGTGCAACAAGAGACGCGATAGTTAGACACTATTTCTGATTTGGATTTGTTTTGGATTTCAAAAATCAGTGATTGCCATTCTTTGCATTTTTTTGGTTATTCTGTAATCATTGCATGCATCACTAATAAATATTCTAAAAACAAAAATATTTTCGATTGTGATGAATATATCAATTAGTGACAGAATAAAATGTATTGTTTTTGGTCCATTTTGACAGCTGATTATTTTATGAGGCCCACTTCTTTCTACTTTGCTGTAGTCCTATACTGAAAGGCTGAATACGTTAAAGCCAACCTAATCACTGTAGCCTGACGGATGAACAAATACAATTAAAACCTTATGAATGAATAGGATATCTTGTAAGATACTGTATGATCCAAATATAGTATTATTTGATACATTTTTAAAGTTTTCATTACATTTTGGGCATGAAATCCACGCCGAATCCACCCTTCTGATGGGATCAGTTTAATCCAGATTTTAAGGATCAAAGTGATCCAAATCCTACAAAAAAGTTCTGAAAAACCCAAACTAAAAGGTAAAACCAAGATTGGATTACGTGATCTAATCTGATTATGTAATCCGTTTCTTTTTTTTGAAAAATCTGTTTTTCAAGATTTGATCCAATCCGTTATCCAAAATCCTAGTGGATTACTTTTGAAAAACCGGGCCCTGGGTATTTTTAAAGACCGCACCCTTGGAACCCATTCCCCACCTCATGGTAAAATAGACTGCTGCCAGAGATCTTTCAGACAGGTACCTCCAGAGAAAGCCTGCCACGACGAAGCAGTCTTTTGAACAGAAATGCTGCTTGGACAGTAAAAATTTCCTCAAGCATCTGCCATTATGTGATACTTTTGAAGTCCACCTCTGGCTCAAGGTACGAATCTCTTATGTCCTTTCATTAATACCTGATCTGGACAGATCTGTGCACAGAAGATGACACCTCTAATTTAAAGTGCAGTTCTAGATAGACTAATACAATGTAATTGCATCAGGTTTATATAACAAGGCCTTTTGTTTTAGATGTGGTTACGTTCCACTTGGCAGCGCCCTAAACATGTGACACATGTGACACCCTTTCCATTATTTACGGTGTACAAAGAAATAAATAAGTGTCTTTTTTCAAAGGTTGATGAAATCAGTGTAACAAAGCGCAAAGCATTATTTTCTTGTCATTTTAGTTTTGAACTATTTTGATTCAATTAGCTTTTTTACACGTCCATTTATTTGACATAAACGTTTAGTTTCACTTTCAGAGAATATCCATGTATTAGTTTTTAACTACATCTGACCACTATGTGCTCCCCACTCACCCACACGTAGGGCGACTGTGGGTGAGTGGGGAGCACGGTCGTCCTCCAATCAGAGGGTTGTGGGTTCGATCCCAGGCCCGGCTAACCCGCATGTCGTTGTGTCCTTGGGCAAGACACTTAACCCAACATTGCTCCTGTAGCTGCGACTACAGTGTGTGAATGGTAGTTACTGATGGCAGGTGTCACTGTGTATGGTTCTCCTGTCATCAGTGTATGAATGGGTGTGAATGGGTGAATGATGTCATGTAGTGTTAAAGCGCTTTGAGTGGTCAGAAGACTAGAAAAGCGCTATACAAGTACAGGCCATTTACCATTTACCATTTACTATCCCTGTATAGTCCTTCTAAAAGCAGGACCGGAACCTCGTGCAAGCTCAGACGTGGACGTGTCTCCTTGTTGCTCCTCTGCTCCACAAGTCTATTTGCCATGCTGGACTCAATGCTGGTCCACAGCGCCCAGGAGTCCAGTTTCCTTCAACAACTCACCCAAAATGTTGAAAGTCAAGACGCGCGGCCGGGTCCTCTCTACCTGCAAGTAGAAACCCTATCGTAATGTACTATTATTAGCTATGGTGGTAGTACTAGTAAGCCAAAAAGAGGATGGGTAGGCCCGGAGACAAGAGAGGGAATTCCTGGAATAACATGTTTTCCAGTCCGAGGTAGAGACACTTGATAAGTATGTCTTTTGTAAACTCTTTAAACAGGAATCTGTTTCAGTCTTTGTGTGCATTCACAAGTGTTATTACTCTGTTATGCATTAAGACTGTTCATGCAAGGTTTGCTGGTTGCTGCATAAGTTATTAAAAGTAGACTGAATCTCATTTGGAGCAGTGAAGCTGCTGTGGTGATGAAACACCATGAAAGCTGTGGAGGCTTATGTCAAGGCCACGCCGGATTTTTAATAAATGGTGCTCTAAGCTCTTAGTGTAGCTTTGGACATGGTCAATACTATTTGAATCAATTGACAACTCGCAGCTTTTTAAAATTATTTTCTTTGAAGACGGTGCTGTACAATGTCCTGTACAATGGTAAAAGATTATGAAAGCGGGAGAGGAGTTTTCTGAGATAAGACTGTAAAATGTATGCAATTTATGTTTTAAAAAAACTTGAATATTTTAAATCTAGCTGCCGTCTCCTAAAGTAGTGTTATTATGGTGAGGAGGGCCAGAAAGACGTCTACATGTTTTGCTTAATGGTCTTCTGAGAATATAAACACATGCTGCTGTAATATATATTATTTACAAAATGTCAATAAACAGCAGTTGTCAATGCTGATGTCTGTGTGTGTGTCAGCGTGAAGACGTGTGTCTTCTTGCTAAAAGTACTTATTTTTGTTTATGGCTTTGAATCACAGCTTTTCCCACTAATGTATGACTTTCCATCATATTTTTCTCAAAAACTTTCCCCCGCCCATTACGCTGAAATTATGGGCATTTGCTCAGAAATGAAACAACGTGAAGGGAAGTAGTTTTTGACAATGTCTGTGAATGGGTGAGCGAGTGTGCCTTTGTGTTTCTTTAGAAAACTATTGTCAATTCTGACAAACAACGTTGGCCCTAGAGGTCTTGAGTGAGCCTAGAACTCCTGTTACAGAATATTCAAAGACCTCTTTATTAGAGAAGCAAGGTTGACCTTCATTTACTGGTCTAGGATCAAGTTGACCAATACTGGAGCTCAGAGTTAAAGCCTCCACTGTTGATAAAGTATGAATTGAACGCTGTACAAATCACAACTTCCTTTTGTGTAAGGAAAAAAATCACTCGAATTTTAAGTTGTGTTTTAAAAATGAAGAAACTCCGGACGGAGAGAAGACATCTTGCATTGAGTTCCATGGAACTCGGATTTCAAATGTCTCTCAGTCAATATCAGTTGTGGTGCTATCAAGTATTACATGCAATCCTACATGCTATCAAGTATAAAATACGATCATAGCTCAACACTGGTATTATTCTATTGATTGCAGTTTCAAAATTTGAGTGGTTTTACAATATTACATTACTTTATTGATTACATAGTAGTCCAGAATTGTGGCTGTATTCTGGTGTACACTAAATGCATTTTATTAATTGTTAATTTATGAATGAAGTGTATTTCTAATACTATGCAGTCGCTTCATTGAATTTCTGTTGTCTTATTTTCTTTAGATTATCCTACATTATTTTAGAATCACCTCCTGCCTAATCAATGGTTTTAATAAAAAAAATAGCTTGAGTTTTCCCAACCAGCCGCACTGTGTCGTTACTTCCTAGTTCAAACGCCTTATATCAATACATATTTAATTTGGCCTTAATTACATTCTGGGATATGTGTAAGAAAAAAATGTAGCCTATCAAGTGAAGAAGCCGCCTCACATCACACACTCTGAGGATAAGAGGTTGGTCCCAAAGACCACATGCTGGTATCACGTCTAAAGTGACAATTTGTGTTTTGGGCCGCAAAGGCTTATTAATAGGCCTTTGTGGCCCATGAGTGATGTATTTAGCTGCTCATGTATAACATCTGGCAGGATGTTTTTTTTTAAATGAGCATGAAAGTGTCACGTATTAATTTTTCTCCTGCCTGCTTGCTTGTCAATTAACTCTCCCGTCATTTCAGATCCTGTCATCAACACAAGATCATCTCTGATTCCCTTCATCTGGTCCTCAGGTCCTCCCCACCTGCCCTCCCATTCCCTCATCCGTCCCCCCACTATTTATGTCCCCGCACTTGCACTTACCCTTTGCCAGATTGTCAGATTCTTGTGTGTGATTTTTTGCGTGCCACCTTTTTGGATTTGTTTGCCTGATATGACTGATATCGCGGTGTTGACCCTGCCTGAACACAAGTAGAGAACTTTGATTGCATTTTTGTTTCCAAGTTGTGCGTTTGGTACCTGTAATCTTTAGAAAGCTAGCACAGCCTACTGCTGCGATCCACAAGGATGTAATGCAAGTTCAGAACACATCCGATCGCCCATTCATCAGATATTATGGCAAATTTCATTTCAAAATCAACATCAAAATGTAACTGTCTACCGCCACAACCAGCTAACTGTGTAAATATGATCAGGATATCCCCCCTCCGGTCGGCCGGACCGTCGCCTGTGATTTTACTGGTCTGGCCCACTTGATCTCATGTATGTGGCCACTTACCTAAAAAGAGTGACACCCCTGCATTAGATCCTCTTAGTCCTCCTTAAAGTCTTGCAGTCTATTCTCAATCACAGCAGCAGCTATTTTCAGTTCAGGCCTTAATCTCATGATTAACACTGTGTGTTGACAAAGAACGATTGCATTAGCATGCTATGCTAGGAGTCCTTTTCATCGGGCATGTGCATCATTTCTTTCGTTTCAGTAACTTGCAGTGCTAAAGGTATGTTAGTTTCGTTCTCAAACACCATGTTGAATCAATGAAGGCTAAGCAATATTTGTTCTTGGTTGAACAACGTGCTGTTCTGTAAAAATATTACTTTAAAAGGGAAACCTTTTTGATTTTATATTTCATATATTATGGATGTGTCTTTTGTTCCACATGGACTGTGAAATGTATGAAGATTTAACCTTGACCAGCATCACCAGATGACTTACTGGACAGTGAACAGAATCTATTAACAGCTGTTATTCTCATCCTGTTTCCAACGAAGAATGTGACGCAGTGGTCTGAATGTTTTAGTAGATCACTCATCTAGACCGATCAACTCAGTGTATCAAAGCCTGAGGGGGACATACAGCTGGGACCAATGAACATTAAAAACAACAAAGTGTTGAAATGAGTCCTTCACATGATGGTGTAGAGATCTAGTGACTGAAGGCCACAGTACATAATGCACATAACTGTCATGCTGACCTCTCATGGCCTTAGTGGACCTGGATCTACATGAGTGTCTTATGCTGCCTATTCAGATTGCGCCTTTATCTGTAAGGGATGATATGTATTTCCTTGAAAGCGTATTTGGTTTCATTGAATATATAATAACTGTTCAATACAATACAATACTTTCACAATCTGTGACCTGCTCTAAGTGCAGTAAAAATAAGCGGAATACATTTGTCCTCACATGAACCTAACTAGGCATTAAGTAGAAGTACATAATAACTAGAGTTCCAGCCTCTGGGTGTGAGATATAAAGACATTTCTCCATCGATCACTTGGGGATCACCTCGGCAGCCCCTGACCTCACCGATTCCCTCCTGTTGTACAGCAGTACATAGTAGGCTGACTATGATTGGCCCCGTCTGCCTCGTCCTGATAATGCTTTATAAAAGCTTGCATGGCCGGGCTTATCCTCCCACAGCGCAGACAGAGTCACGCCTCCATCTTCTGTACATGGCAAGAGCCTTAGCAGAAGCACATCGGACCCCCATCGGACTGCTGGCGTCACAGGTGGAAATAGAGAGAAGAGCCCTTCAGGAAGAACCACGCACACATTTCCAGGTGAGTCTTTGTTTGGATAGATTTCTCATTTAATATCTCTAATGAGCTTTAAAGAGTTCTGCTTCTGTACCAAACTGTTGTTCCATAAAGTATAAAGGGGAACCAAAATAACGTGTTTAATTTCTAGACTGTATTGATATTCTCTAAAGGTTTCTCGAAAGAACTTTGTGAAATTGTAAAGGTTTTAAGGGAGTTGAATAAATAAAACTATTTTTGAAAAAAGCCAAACTATATTATTATACTATATTACTATATTATTGATATTTCCAAATAACAAAAAAGGAGACTTTCTCTTGTTCTGAGGGTGGTGGTGGTGGCAAATAATGGTGCAGCTTTGAAAACATGCCATGTCGGTGTATGAAAATTCCCCCCAGGAAATAATATTCCAACTACTGATGGTTGTTTAAGAGGAACTTTACATCACAGAGGATTCGGCCCCTTTAGACTTTAGTCTACACCTGGTAACGAGAAGATCCAGAAGGATCTGATACCGACCTTCGGAGGCCAAAGTATAACCTTTACTGTTCACATCACTACAATGTCACTGCGGTGTTTTGCAGGATGAGGCCCTTTTGCCGGCTCTCCGCAGTGGACCGACTTCCGACCATTAACGAGATGCAGGAGAGCGACACAGAGGATAGAGACCTGGAGTGCTCCTCACACACCATGGAAGAGTATTTGGACTCTATCAAAGAGCTCTCCCAGCCGGCTGCCTACCCTCTGCACGGGCCCCTCAGAGGTCACCGCCGCTGGTTAGTGCGCACCTGTCCCGGGGTATCACCTGTGGCGCCATCTGTACTCTTACATTCGCTAAGGACCTCCGCAGCCTGGATCCCTGTAGAACTATCAGATGTGTCAGTTACTTTAACCAACCAACCAAACGGGGACTCGTCGCCGCGTTTGAACCAGGACCAGTTGGACAGGTTGATGCCACAGTCCCTGTTCGCAGGCCTGGTGTGAGCCACAGGGAGGATTAACGCGGTGAACCAATTACCTTTGCGGCGGTAACAGAGTGAACCCAGAGTGCTGTGACATCAGCTCCAAGTTGCATCACTAATTCATGTGGAAGAAGTTACTGAGAAGCCACTTTCCCAATGCGATATGCATTCCCTTTGAAGTGCTTAATGAGTTCAACGGAGATTAACAAAAGATGAAAAGAGAAAAGTATCAAGGACAGAACAAACCAATGAGCAGCCCGAGGCGAGAGCAAACTAAGTGGGTTGCGTATGGCCCCTCAGCCACCAGGGGGCCCCCAAAAAACTTTGGGTTTTGGGTCCCAATATCAATATTTAATTGAAGATACACTGCAGGTTTTTTTTGTACGTTGGCTCATGACTATGAGTATGAAAGATGTAAAATACCTAAATATTAACAAATAAACCTAGGTGTGTCCTCTCTAAACAAACCAAAAATGGGAATTCTCGTTGGAATCGGATAATCAAGATAAGTGTGCGTAAAAGATTTGAAATAACTACTGATACGTAAAAGGAAGATATACACATTGTAGGTTTTGACTTTTCATGTCTGCCTTATCTGTCATTCTTAAATCAAATTTCTTATCTGTATTTGTTTTAAATCTTCCACAGAAAAGGGGCTTCCTGCAGATGATATGAATGAATTAATAAAGCACGTTCATTGCTCCTGACTAGGAAAGTAGCCCTGAAGTTACTGTCAGACCGGAACACTCAGTGGTCTACTTGGAATAATACCCATACACTTAACATTATTTTGTTGATTACAAAGAAATTACATGTTTTTTATATAACATTTGGATTCACCAATTTGCCTGGATGGATAATAAAATGATACTGGCTATTGTAACACCCCAAGGAAGGTATAGTTTGCTAGATGAATATGCTTCTCGCTGGGCGAGTATCAGGTTATATACATATAACTACAGAGCCAATAAAGGCGCTGGAATCAGACAGTAGAATTAGTATGAACTATACCATAGAAATTAACACAACATACCATGGGGTATGAACATCAATGTTATAAGTAGTGGTGCATGCTGGGTGTGTGATTGTGTGTGTCTGTGACAATAATAATAATAATTCCGTCACCAGTAGGTGGTTTCCCAAATAAGTCAGACGTTTATATTTTGATGTACCTTCCTCCAGATATCTTTTCTTTTTCTCCTTGAGCTTTTCAGTTCCACCTTTAAAGGATTCACACTTTGGTGCCGTGCTGCGAGCGAGTGACGCAAGAGTTCAAAACTCAATGCAAAGGGCCAAAATTAAAAACTGCCATAAATATCAAGATACCCAATCTTCACGATACCAGAATCCAACACAATAGCACCTGTATGTCGGCCCGGCGATTCCTCGCTGTGAGCGCGCTGGGTAGCCCCGTCCTCCTTCTCCACCTGGTCCATCAGTCCCTAGTCTTTTTGCTAGTAGCTTTTGCAGTGTCTTCTGGGACTTTTAGTATCAGCCGCGTGCGTCCTATTGACCGACGGGCCAGTTATGATAGACATATGATGTTTACTCGCAGGCTGGATATATTTGTACTGCGACAAAGTTAGACCGGATTTCCCTGGTATCCCCTATGGACAGTCAGCGTCTGTACACATGACTCAGAGCACCTGATGTAGCATAAAGACAGAGAGAGTCTGCAACACTTTCACTCAAGGTGAAGCAAAGTAAACTTATTCCCCAGCTTATTTAAACAAATCTCTATCTGTGTACAGCTGCAAATGTGGCCAACATACACACATATTTACTTTATCTGACAAGCATATTTATTTTAATCCAATCTTTGATTTTAAACTTGGACCAAACAAAGTAGTTTTGTTTTTTGACTAGAGCTAATGGAACAGACTGAAGTTTGTGACGAGTCGAATCTAGGCGTGGAAACAGACGGCAACATTTGATGCGTTGGGAGCGTGAATGACCAATAGTCCTGTTCAGACATTTTGTTAAATGTTATAATAAATCAACTGGGAGAAAATCTGGGAGAATGTCTCTTCAACAATGAGCTTATTGTTGACACGCAAACATCCAACCACGTACCCTTAAACAATCTACTTTTAGTTTCTTTTTCCCTGAAATGTTGTGACCAAGAGGAAATGGGTTCCAGCTGGGTCTTGGCAGAAATGGCCTGAGTTTTGTCCAATAAATAAATGGTGGGGGAGAGAGGGAGCAAAACGCCCCCCCTCACCTCCCCCGGAGACACTTCACAGAAGATGTCTGAGTGTTTTATCCAGCAGACATAAATTGCTCTTACTCATGGTTCAACACTGCATACTTCTAGCACACGGGATGGCAGAGCGCATCCTTTCCCGCAGAATGATGGTAGTAAAAACATTCTTTCATCATTCTATTCCAGAGGAAGAACATGAGTCATGTGTAAACTGAATGGCGTGCAGATAAAAAAGGACGTAAGAACCATAAGTTGACCTTTTCTCTACTGCAGAACATAAAGTGCTGCCTGTTAGTGCTGAGTTACTGTGAGCGGCCAGAGGAGTGATATGAAACCCAAAGACCTGTGTGATGTGGAAGAACAACTGAAGAGAGATAAGAAGCTCTTTGTATTGAGGTAAAACATCTCACTACAAATCATCTAACTGAAATACATCAGAAGAACATGCAGAGAACAAAGACTGAGCTCTAAAAAACTATTGCCTTGTATCAGCAAGCTGTTGGGCTCCAGTCCAGACTGCAGAGGGGGAGGAAGAACAACTTCATGTGTTTCACTGTATAATTCCTGACAATCAGCAAAAACACATTACGTGCAATGTATGTTTAGGTTATCATCAATTGTTATTAATAGAGTGCTGAGCATATGAACTTCAGACTTGTCTTAGTTTTCCTCATCTCGCTGTGCATTTATTGGCCACTGAAAGTCGATTTGCTTTTTGAATGTTTTCAGCATCACAAATACAATTCGATTCATCTTATGACCTTCAATATATGTCTAAATGGGTTGATATCACTGAGAGTTATTGAGAGAATAGTCAGTTGTGTGAACTGAATAGCTTCAGAGGACAGGGTGCTGTGTTTTTTAAACATTTCCAATCTCTCCGGTTCTTTTCAATAAATAAGTTAACTATTTTAGGTTTATTCAACAAAACAGCACAACTACTTTGTCCTGTTTAGGAGTCATGCGGCTCTCGCCGGTTAGACTCCAGCTCCCCCGTGACCCTGTGTGCAGGAGAAGTGGTTTGATGATGAATGGATGGATGAATCATCAAGTCACCGCTGACACACAAGACACAAGCAGCAGTCACCTGGGTGAAAGTCTGTTGGTTTCACCCAACTGGCCACTTGCCAGTTCAGTAAGAAGCTGCAGACACTAAAGGGTGCTACGGTGTGTCTTCATTGCTAAATGATGCTGAGCAGCACTGCGATATGAACGGTTTGTGATTTGAAAGAGCTCATTTTGAAATGGGAAAAGTTCACCTCCATTAAGAATGAAGTCTCCCGATGGAACAATATACTAAATCTCCCCAAATAAGATTCAACAGCATTGAGAGCCCGAGTGTTGAAGTTTCTAAACTCTGGTCACACTGCTCATGTTTTAATTCAATTGATTGAGTAAGTGTGTCCAAACGTTTTGGTGCCATAGTTTGTTTATTGTTTGGAGTGGTCAGATTCCGAGTGTGGAAATCATCCATGTGCACGATAATGTCACTACTGGAAACACTGGAACTAAAATCTCAGTCTGATGTTGACATGAAAGAAAATGTTTAAGCAAAACCCGTTAGCGATGTTATTGATCTACGCTGTTATCAAGTGGGTAGCAAGTACATCGCTGTGCATTGGGACGCCTCCCAACATGGGTTTCAATCAGAACTTGTCATTGAATGCCTTAAACTTGCACAAGCACATCAATGACGATGAGCCTCTATATCTGGGCTCAGGTGTTCGTTTGGCAACTTGAAATGTTTTTCAAAGGTTTCATGTATACACAATAACTGTTATTAGAAAATTCATAGACTACAGAAGGGTGAAGTAAGCGGTGATTCTTGCCACAGCATTAATATACTCTAATGAAGGGGGTCGTCGTCGTCAAGGTTGGTGGTTCGAGTCCAGGCTGCCCCATGTTCCACGCCAGTGTCCCTGAGCAAGACACCTAACCCCTAATTGCTCCCCGGGCAAAAAATGTGAAAAAAAGCCATGGGTTTAACGTGTAATGTAAGTCGCTTTGGATAAAAGCGTCTGCTAAATGACCTGTAATGTAATGTAATGACAAACGGGTAAATCCTGGAAACAGGAGCTGATTCATAATGTCTTTTGGCCCAAATCCACAATGAAAGTGGCCGTGCGTCATCTTTCTGCGATTGCCAGTAACTATTGACAAGCATCAGGAATGTTGAGAACATTTACAGTGCATCTATTTTGAAGTGTTAATTATTCGAAAAACATAAGGATTTCTTTTATACATATATCTAGTAAATGAACTATCCAGGCTCATTTGATAAAAGTAACAGCATTTACCTGAACAGTGTATTTTAGTGAGTCATAGTGAAGTTCTGCTATTAGAGCAAACCTTCCATCTTGTCTTGTTTGATAAGACTGTACGTGCCATTTGTCCAAAAATCACCGTTCATTCAGTGTGCATTGTGGGTTTTTTGCGCATGTGTGATTAGCCATCTGGGTCTACATTGGAGATAATTTTCCGTCTTCTTTCTGTGAAATCACTGCTGAGCACATTCCAGTGTGTGTGCTAGAGTCGGACTGGAAATTCCAGATTTATTAGGTTGGGCCTGACGGGAAAAACCATGGATTTTGGGAAAACCCATTCTGCACTGCCTATAAAAGGAGAAGAGGCTCACAGCAGCTCCCCAGTCATCTCTCCTCTACCTGCCCTCCTCTTAAGGATCTCTGGACTTTTACTCTCTCCACAGAGAATAATGGCCCCGTCACAGAAACGCTGCATTCTGCTGCTGGCTGTTATGGCTGCAGTTTGTATTCAGCTCCATCAAGGTGAGTGAAAGTATTATTTATAATGGTTAAGTATAAGGATGCGTGAGACTGATGTTTCACTGTTAAACCATTCTGTTCAAACCATTCTGTAGAACTTTTTATCCAGTTTCTTATTTTCTGGATGCATACCTAACTGCATTTTTAAAAACTTTTCCTGCAGCTCATGACTTTTTGGGACGCTGCTCATGTCTCAACCCAATCATGTTCATCAAAGGCAGTATTTCCGATTTTGAAGTCCTCGAGAGTCGCCCTGGATGTGATAAAACGGAGTTGATGTAAGTTGAAACACTTATTAAAAAAACCCTGAAGCTTTGTAACATTTTGGGTTGATTTTTATATTTAAAATACCTTCTTCTGTATTTTTCAGTGTAACCATGAACAATCCAAACAACTCAACTGAAAAACTCTGTATGAACACTGTGGGAAAGAGGGCCAAGGCATTTTTGAGATGCTGGGAAAGGTAAGAGATCACGAATGGACTCACACACTGTTACTAATTCCCTGTCCCACACAAAAATCACCTGAACTCAATTAACTGGAACGAGAGAATCGGCATGAAGCGGTTAGCATTCTGGTTCTTTCTCACTCTACTTAAGAAAATCTGAGTTGAAATCTGCATGTAAATTCAAACCTTTTCCAAAAGGCATCCGAGCTACAGCACGCAGCAGAAAATCACACCACAAAAATGCTTGATTTAGTCCCATGATGAGAC